ATATATATATATATATATATATATATATATATATATATATATATATATATATATATATATATATATATATATATATATATATATATATATATATATATATATATATATATATATATATATATATATATATATATATATATATATATATATATATATATATATATATATATATATATATATATATATATATATATATATATATATATATATATATATATATATATATATATATATATATATATATATATATATATATATATATATATATATATATATATATATATATATATATATATATATATATATATATATATATATATATATATATATATATATATATATATATATATATATATATATATATATATATATATATATATATATATATATATATATATATATATATATATATATATATATATATATATATATATATATATATATATATATATATATATATATATATATATATATATATATATATATATATATATCAAACTTGAAAGAAGACAGAAAGAAAAGAGATTGTCAGTGACTTTTCATACACATTGTAGTTCTCCATAGGATATTTTTGCAACTGGCTTGCCCAGGCAACATATGACGTCCATGCAACGTTGCTGCAGCGTGACTTGAGCCAAATGACGTTGCGGCAACGTCACACAGACGTCATTTAGATTTATGCGTCGCTTGGATTGGGATCGGAAAAAAAGTTATTGCCTTGCCTCAGGCACCTATTGTCTGAGTCAAGAAAATTTATGAGGAAAGCAAAGGGCGGCTGTTGGCTTCTATTTAGGCATGGCCAGGTTTTCCTCCTCAAAGTCGAAAGAATGTCCGGACTTCCCTTTACACACTCAATTAGACTCTGGATACGAGTAGAAGGTCCGCCGCTGCAAATCTTAATTCCCCTTCTACACCTGTTCCTACCCCTCTCCCTCCCTCCCCCTTTTTTTTCTTCGTCTCAAGCGTCGAGACATTCTGCGGTGTGTATACGGGATCAGATTGGACGAAGAAGGGGAACGAGGGGGTCTAATTAGACCCTCTCACCACACACCACCGGTTCAAACTAATGAGCAATTTGCGCAAGCCCTCTTCTCGGAGGCTAAAGCGGTTTGCCCGGAAAGACACGCAAAACGATCTTGCCGCGATTACCTAAACCTTTCAAATTACTCGTTTCATGTAGTTACGAGCCTTTTCCTGTATTCCTCCATGCGAAAGCGGTCATACAATGCAAGATGGTAAACATCTATACTCGCGAATGAAAAAGGAGGCTTTGCACAAAAAACCGTACATTTTAAACATCTACAGGGTGTCCCAAAACTCTGGATCCATAGAGCTACCTCAAGGCGAATGTTTACACTTAAAAAGAAAATTAGAGTTGACTACTTATAGGACTTCATATTTGCATATCCGTAATCATTTTTAGTTAATAAATAAGTTAACAATAAGTAGTGCCATTCGAATCTTTTACATGTAAACTTTCTGGACCCTGGACTTTTGGAACACCCTGTATTTTGTAGTTTATGTGGCGGCGACCACGACTCATGGGTATGACAACTCCTCTTCGTCTTCCGCATTGTACTGTCACCTGTGTTGATGGTGACAGATTTCCATTTGTTTCATAAAATCATAAAACTTTTTTATTATCTATGCGAGAAAAACCATTTTCAAACTTTCCGGTTTGGCCAGCTCTTTGTCCTTCATGTTACAAGTGAACGATTTTGAACTCAGGGTCACAAGGGGAAGGGAAGGACAGGGGGCAGTGACTCATTCGGTGCAAGGAGGTCAATGCACCCATTCTCCATCTCCCCACGTTCATGATATGCGATAAGACGCTACCAGGCAGGAAGAAGACGCTCTAGGCCCAAGAATGCCCCTTCACTTCGGATTCCCAGCGAACCCTCCCCATCCGAGTAACTTCTTGATTCATGGGAATCAATTTGGCCCGAGCTAATCCGAGGATACGATTTCACCACTGAGGCTCTTTAACAGCCTAAAGAGGTAAGGAGTACTTCGTGCTCAGGAATCTCCCTTCCCAAACGTGTCGCCTGCACTAGGTTAATAGGTTGCTGACTTGGTTTGAATCGAACCTGGTTCCCCTGCCAAGCTCGCTACCAACCCAGTCATTCAACTACTCCAGAAAATTATAGGGGGAAGAAAGAGGAATTGACAGGTTTCATCCCTCCCTTAGCCGTGGTAAACAGAAGTTCAACCAAGGAACCAACAGCTATCGCTAAGAAGTGAAAGTCCACGTCTATTGCCAGCGAAGCTGAATAACAATCCTCCAAGCAGAGACATGACAGAAATAATATTTGGAAACAGATATTCTCCACTTTCCTAGATCGTGTCATATACACTTCCTTTTCTTATCTTTCAAGTGGACAAGGACAAGTGGCCTTCGCGGTGCCATTAAAGTCCTGGTGCGAAGAAAACAAGTACTATAACTCAATGGCAACTCTAAAAGTGAGATGAAACAGGACACCGTCTTGCGGCGTACCACTCATTCTCACGGCAAGACCGTCAATTGTTGAACCTTAATAAGTCTTTCTATTCGAGTCCCTAAGTTTCGATATGGATAAAGCAGGGAAATTTGGATCCAGTCCTCCGGCATCCGAAAGTCCGAGAGCATTTCGGATCACTCGTTCATTGGTGATCTGAGAAAGTCACAATAAAAGCGAGAAGCTCAATTGTGACAGATTCTAAAATGCAAGGTCAGGATGCTCGGCATCAATAACTCCATAAGGATTTCAAAGACGTGTCTTCATGGCAAAAGAGAAGGAGAGGAGAAGTTTCTCGTCATAGGGTTAGCTATAAAGTCTTTGATTCATTACTTTAACGATTTGCTTCCATAATGGACATGGAACGAGCAAAAGGCCCCCAAAGTGGAAACCCTGGAAATGGTTTTCCACACTTCTACGTCAGATTTGTTCATTGTGATGTGTATCCAGAATCGCGGGAATGTTCTGTTTGAGATTCGTTCCCTTCTCATCTCCCGAGCTCTCTATCGCCGTAAACAAGGTCGGCTGTGGTGCATGAGTCGCACGGGATGACGTGCACAGATTTATGTTTCGACACTGTCGCGTAACCCAGCAGTACTGCAATTTCCTGGCACGCTCTAAAGGGCACATGGATAAATTTGGGGAGACTGTTTACATCTCGGCGCCATGTGCCATGGCTTTCTATTTGTGCTAGGGAAATGCAAATAGATTCCCCCTCACGATCAGACCATTCAATCATGCCATAATCATGGCTTTGGCCCTGGCGGGCCGACGGAACGGGAACGGAGAAGGTCACCTGAAAGTCACAAGTGTCCCTCGCTATCATCTTTGTCGAAAGGGCTCTGGGCCAGGCTGCTCGACCGAGAGGATTGGAGAACGAAAGTGGAAAGGCATACATCCAGCCAGGAAGAGATAGGTTTCATATCTCTACTTATCTTGATCGCCCCTCCTAAGTTCCAAGGCCCGTGGAAGAACAGGTCTTGTTCCAGCGCCGAGATATCTCAGTTTCTGAGCTCTTCGCTAACACTTACGACATATGTAACTCATCTCTCACTTCAAATCTCTCATGACGGCCGCCCTTTTTGCCAAGACGTTCTGGATTTCCTTGGCATACACACTCGAAATTTTTCGGGTCAAACGCTCGACGACTTCAGAATGTTTATTGGCAACAGAAACATCAGCTGTTTTAGAACGAGCTGAAGTCTTGTGTTATCTGAAATCTAAAGAGTGAACGTGAAAAGAAGGCCATCGGTCTACGTAAATACATCCAGATCATACATGAAGTCTTTCAAAAAACTATACATTGTAAAACACTAACAATCAACAAGGTGATAGGATACGTGATACAATATCTTCAGCAACCAGTCCTGAAGAGTTATGCACATACGGAATGATGCAATAAGCACGCGGCAGCATTGAGCTGTGCTTTCACTCAAGGTACGCTGGTTTGCCGAGATGACATATTACTTGTGTTGCAACCCTGCCCGATTCCTAGGTTAGAGACGATTTTGCGACGGAAAAGTTTTTCAGACACGGAGAACTCGAGATAAATTCACCAGAGGTAATGCGTCCATCTCTTGAGGATCATCAATCACCAAGCAATCTGAAAAGGATCACGAGATCTGCCTAAAAGAAGTCCTACCCAGAAACGTTGCTTCGTGAGGGATCGAGGATAATCCCCCGAACCCATACAAGGCTGGGGAAAGGAAAAAAAAAAGCGCCCCCAAAGGATTAAAAGGGAAAAGGAGGAGAAGGAGCTTGCGATTGAGGGAGGAACCACGCCATCTGCATTCTCCCAAGCCTTGGCCGTCAATCCAATCAGACCTCATCACGCAAGGGAGAAATCCTCCCACGCTTTTTCCCCAGCCTCCACCCTCAACTTCCGTGAATTTCTAACTGAATCCGCTCCCATAATGATTGATTCGTTTTTTTTTTCAACCACCGTCGCCTCGGTAAAAAAAAAAACAAAAAAAAACAAACAAACAAAAAACAATAAAGAGGTTCACAGTAGTCAAGTGATGACTGTCGTAAGACGATAGAGAAGTAATTACACAAAATGAAAGGAAATTATGTATTGCGTGATGACTTGCTACAGTTGCTCTTCGATGAAGCCCGATAATAAATACACATGCATAAGAAAGCAATACGAAAACTCAATATTCCATACAGGAGAAATGGAAGAGTCCTGCCGGACCTGGTCTTACACGACAGGTCATTTATTCGCATGTATGAGAAAATGGGCCTCAGGTGTGTCCCGGAATCCATTATACTCCCATCGCAATGGGCGTCAATATTGATTTCCCCAAGGGTCTATGAAGGATCTCATCCGCGTGGGTGGACCATATAGAAGGAGGTACATGCCCGTAGAGCAAACCCTGGTAGATCCAATTTCCCTTCCTCAAGTTTACTTCTCATCTCCGAGCATTAATTAAAAGCCACACAGCAAGCAGGCAGCAGACGAGAAGCGAAGCATGCGAGACATGCAGGTACAGCGGTGGGACTGACCTTCGCATTTCATTCCTTGGTGCAGGACGCCGTAGAGAAGCGAGCCGCAATGATCGCAGAACGTCGGGCTGCTGTACGTGTGCACTTTGAACTTGTGCTTCGTTCGGGAATCCTGGCCAAAACAATCTTAAATCATTGTCCTGCTGCAGCTTTACGCATAGAGCATTCACGCGTTTACGGCTGGCTGTGATGAAACCGTTCTCAGCCGATCGAGACGCTGACTTTTTCGGTAAATATTTTCTTACACCTGAAATAACTTTCATTTTTAAGCCGACAAGGCATTGGTGAAAAAATATATAATAAATACATAAATACTTTAATTCAAACTAATATTGTCTTGGTTCCATTTCAAGTGTGAATGCCCTGAACGTGAACGTGAAGATAATCTTCCAAAAACACGAATCAGTTCATGGGCCCATCAAATTGCCCGCCTCCTGCTATTTATAACCCAATAGAACGGCGCAAATCCCCTCTAAGTTGATCGTTCCCCAAAGGATCTCATTTCAAATCCCTGCCTATTCTTGACATCGAATGAAAAGAATAAGAAGAATCATCGGTTTCTCACCCACGCCCGGGCTTCGAAATTGCTACTCCGGGGAAGGGGGAGAGAGATAGAGATAGAGAGATAGAGAGAGAGAGGGGGGGGGGAGGGGAAATATAACTCTGGATGAATGAGATCCATTTGAAGAAATGAGGGGGACGGAGGTAACCCATTTAGAGGGATCTCCTTTAAAGCGATTCCCAGGGGAGGTGAAACGGGGCCAAAGGTCACATTCATGTCCCACCGGGGACCCATCCTCCACCAGAAAACTGCCATACTGTGCATATACATTCGTTTCATAAAATTCGACATGGAGGTTCAAGGACCGCTCCTCATTTCTGCGTGGACAGGTGAGACGAGGGGAGGCAGGCGAGGACATTACGAGATGGCTTGGTTGTCATGGCAACCATCCCTTTCAAAAGAGAAGGCAAGACAAAGATCCGCCCCCTTGAATCCCGTCCTTCCCCTCAAGTAAGGGTAGGTCCCCCCCACCTGAACCCCTTCAGTCCGCCTTTCTGATTAAATGTAATTAACATAATCATCGTCCATATTCATGAGAGCCGCTACTTCTTAATGAGTCTCGCGGATCGTCATCTGTTTGAGGATCCGTATGCCTTCCGCCCACACGGAAGGGCAGGGATTCGGATCCCACGGAATGGGAGATGAAATGGATTCTAGGGAAATTCGATCTGTAAGAGAGGGAGAGAGAGAAAAAAAGGGAAAGCTCCTACGAGACCCTCCGTGTAATGGAAAATAAACAGGATTGGGGATCGCTGGAAAGTGCTCCGTAGTGCATTCGTGTTTGGAACTCGGTCTCGATTAACAGTGGTGCCACGAAACAAGTACTTAATTTTTTTTCTTTCTTCATCTTCGTTCGGGAAGATAGAGTTTCGTGGAACGAGACGGAAAAGGAACGCGAGAAAAAAAAAAGAGTCAAGGTTGATGCGCGAGCGTTTCAATTAAGGGTTCATGAAAGAAGGGAAGAGCGGCAAGCTGCCAAGTAACTCTTGTCTCGGTCCGCGACGAGGCCAATCTACGGTACGGCGCTTGGCACAGTGTGAATCAAGTCATCTGTGCAAAGCTGTGACAACAACAACAAAAAAATGCAGAGCCGTCGAGGCTTATTACACCTCTTCATGGAGAGGAGAATTCAAAACTAAAGGAAGAGAACTTCCGGTCATTTCACTAACTCCTCTTTTTAGTATTAAAAAAAACGCATCCCGCCGGAGTGTCGCTTTCAATTTCCCTGTAGACTTTACCATGGAATAATTTCACTTTTCGTAGTGCCTCCAACTTGAAATTTTAACATAGCTATTACTGGAATCCCAGCAGGGAGATGGACTCAAAGTGGTCCAAGTGCTTTTGCCGTCTAAAACCGCGCCCCTAAAATAAGTGCATCTCTGGAGACTGCACGGAATTCTAAGCAGCCTGCCCTTCGTACTATTTTGTTCTGGAAGGGGTTCCAGCAGGAAATGAAACAATTATTGAAAATAGAACAAGACTCAAGGTTAACTACCCGCAGGTCCCCCACACCCCCGCCATCCAATCTGAATCGTGCGAGATCCTCCCCCTTCCCCTCCCCCCCCCCCCCCCCCCCCCCCCCCCCCCGGTGTGAAAANCCCCCCCCCCCCCCCCCCCCCCCCCCCCCCCCCCCCCCACGCTATCAGGTGTGAAATCGAGTTCTACCATCAACCAATCAAAAATCCCTCTGGGACCGGGGGGGGGGGGGGACACGGCTGCTTAAACAGCGAAACCGAGCGGAGACAAGAAAGAACGAAATGGAAGATCAGATGCACTGTTATGCCTTCTGATTGGCCTCGTGGAAGGGAGATATCCCTGCGGAATACGAAGCAGTCCGAAGTGAAATGGGGAGAGGCGGATGGGGGGAAAAAAAATCTGACGCGATCGAGCGAAATAACGGGACTTCGTTAGGAAAGTTCCTCTATCTTTCCATCTTCCGCGGTGTTTCCGGACACGAACTCTGGAAATTAAGTCAATCGACAGTTGACTTTTAAATCAGCCTCGTTCACGCTCACTCTTCCACAAGATACGATTGCGACAACCAATAATTTCGCATCGACTTTGGTACGATCTCGGGCGCAGACACCGAGGCGTCGGTTATTCGATCGATGTCGATAATTCATCGGCCCTCGGCATTAACGAACCTTCGTCGTAGGCAGGAATAACTTCCTGGATATCGCGGGATCGCCTCGTCGTAACATTACGGCCTATCGTGCGTTGCCTCGATTCCCTATTCACCGACTGATGTTCTCGACGTTGCTGCTTAGTTCGCGTAAGTGTTCCTCCCGAGAAGGGGGGAGTCGCACAGGGTCGATATCTTCGAAGGGAGAGTCGCTTCTCGGCTTCCTCTTTGCTTTTTCCCTCTCTCTCTCATGCTCTCTCTCTCTCACTCTCTTTTTCACCCTCCATCTCTCGCTTGGCGAGACGTGTCAAAAGCACGCAGAGGCCGGATGACATTGATTGCCGATTTACTCCTTATCTAGGACGGAAAACTGAATACAGAGATGGTGATGTGTATACGTGTATGGGCGCCGTTGTATCTTATCGGGCGGGGGTACATGGGACCGGGGCAGCCCATACAGAATGAGAAACTTCCCCATCTCTGGATTCCGTGACAGGCGACACAAAGAATTTCCGAGGAGTGCGGCGGGAGCCAAGAAGAAGAAAAAAGGAGACAAAAAGGAGAGTTTGGCAATGCAAGAGAGGCCAGAAACCCCAGTGCACTGTCCTTTTTTTCTCCCTCTTTCTCCTGCGGAAGAAATATTTCTCCGTCGCGACTGCAATAAGGGATCCCCCTAGCGACATCACTTATGCACCTTATGGTCTCTTCGTGACGATCGTGACGAAAGCAGAGACGAAAAAGTCGCCGTGAATACTTTCCATCCGGAAAATGGGGTTTTTACGTCATGACTCAGACGGAAACTTGGCTTCAAGGTCCGAGAAGTTCGGGTGAATCCGGTTCCTCGAATCCATCCGGCTCGAGATCCTGTCTACTCTCCCGGCCTCGTTCATCCCTTGCCAATTTTCGACAGGTGGGATGGCCATGTATCAAATGGCACGCTCGTTCCCGAACCCGTTTTGTTTCCTTTTAGTTTCAACAAGAACCAACGAGGACTCACGTCGGAATCTGCACCCTTGTCCGCGCCGGGACAGGTGAAAGTGACAAATTCATGACACCTCTTGTGGACCACGAAACTGCAGACTGCAAAAGGAAAAGAAAAAAAATGTATTAGGGCACCGGCAAACAAAGGAAATTTCAAACAGAGAAGGAGTAAACATTCAGCGTCTGTGCCAGACGTTGGGCTTTCTTTGGTGCCCATTTGGTGCACTAAAGCTGCAGCCTCAGTGCACCAAATGGGCCCCTTGCTCACGCTTTCCAATCCATGGAAAATCCGTGCCAGTTTCACTTTAATATGGCAAAAGCAGGGAATTAAACTCACTTTGGCACTGGAATCCCTGCTTCCCGAACCCCCTGCGTTGGGAAAAAAAGGGAGAAACCATGAGTCGATTCCCATTCCTTTGATGAAGACGTGGTAGTTTCTCAATCACGATGACCACAACGATCAAATAATCATGACCACAGACGATCAGCGGATTCCTTCCTATTATGGTGACAGCTCATTCGTCTTTATATCTTTGTAGTCCTTCGCTCTTGATGATTTTTTTTCACGCTCGTCAAGCTCGCACGCACCGCCGATTATCCCCGGTCACGCCCCCCTTCAATGAATGAACGAATCCATGAATGAATGAGAGGATCGTGACCGAGTTCCCGCTGCCACCCACGAGGGCCGCATTCACACCTGCTTCAATCAGTGCACACGATGTATGAAGGAATGCTAAGCCGTCGGGGTATCCGAGGCCTGCTTTGTGTGCACGCACGATGTGGATCACACGCGATCCGATTCCAAATAAACACGCTGAAACTGTTTCTGAGGCCCTGTTGAGAAAGGCTTGTTTTATTTAAGATATTGTGAACCACCAGGTCGATCCCTTTCAAGGACGCAAAGACGCCACAAGGAACTCCCGGATCTTCTTTCCACCGTTAAGTGCCAGTCGGAGACACACGTCGGAATTTTCAAAAGGGTCAAAGGGTCTAAGCAGGCTTCACACGCCGCTGGCTCAAGGCTATTCCATCATTCCATTAGTGGCACGGAAGCCACGACCAATGGGGACCACGGGCCTCGATCCTCGCTTCTAATTTCCTGGAACCATCCATGAGTCAATTAAATGTTAAATTTTAAACACTATACGTCATTCTGGCTGGAGGCTGAAACGACAAAGGGACAAAGCCCGAATCACATCACGTTGCTTCGAGGGTTGGCTGACGTCATCGAGGGGGGGGAAGGCCCCCCAAGGTCAACAGGAACAGATCCACTCTGGAATTCATTAACTTCTTGCACATGCACACACGCTTCTCTCGAATTCACGATGCGAAATATTCGTCTCTCCTTTCTCCAAGGCTTCATTAGGTTGATGAGAAGTTCAGCCTAATCTAATTACCAACTGCACCATCTTTGCCTTCCTTGCATACGAGAAAATTCGGTGCGTGTTAGCGATCGTTTATTAGTCTTGGACCGGATCCCATTCCCTGTCCTTTCGAGCTGACCGAAACTCTCTGAAAGACAGCGAGCAATAGGCAAGAAATTTCTACGATGAAGCAAGAGGCATGGCGATATGAAGCCATGGGGGCCGGTCAAGGCAATTTCGGCCTTGATAAATGATAGCCATTCTCTACGCTTCACAGCTTGTCCATGTAGTCAAACAGGGGACTTTTTGAAGATGCAGAAATTGGAGGAGAGACCGTTTAAGAAAAAAAAAATTGTGGGTCCTCTAACTCTAATACACTTACGACTCATCCCCCCCCCCCCCCCCCCCCCCCCCCCCCCCCCCCCCCCCCATCNCCCTCCCCCCCCCCCCCCCCCCCCCCCCCCATCCGACCCCTCCCCTCCAGAAGCCATACAAGGTCCTGTCGCACAAATTCCATTTGCCAGGTTTGTTCATCGATCCCGGCAGCAAAAACAGAGGCCCAGATGCGTCGCCATTGCCGATGCGAAAACCACACTTATGAATGTAGTAGGGAAGGCACGTTCATGAATTATGCAGGCAGTGCCCTCAAGACTTGGTTCGTTCCTACACACGACGACGTGTACATTTTTGATGGCAGAAAAAAGGAGCCCCGAAAGGCGAAATGGGGGAGACCAAAGGTTTCCCTTTCCCTCTCTTCGATCGATGGGAAGCAAGACCCTTCTCTTTGGGGGATGGAAAGAGAGATGCTCTCCTTCGTCGACTGGAGAACCCTGGGAAGAGGGGAATGACTGAATAATGGACGTTCGGATGTGTGGCTCGGCATGCCGCCTTTCCCGATAAAATACTTGATCTCGACCCCATTCTGCACTAATTCCATTGATATGGGAGACCTCCCTTCGTCTGCAAATGACTCGTCTCGGGTCTTTGATCTTCGAGGCGCCTTGAAAGAGATGAGAAAACCCCCTCCTCTTGATGAAAAATGAAGCTCATTTCGGCCTGTCTCCGAGATGCTCTACTTTCTCGACTCTTCCCAAGTGGCCCAATAATTATTCCTGCATTCCTAGTACGCTCAATGGTTAGAAATATACTCGTAGACGCCGATGCAAGCGAGCCTGGGCCACTCTCGTCGTGACAGGATTATCAAGTCGCGAGAGCAGGGAGAAAAAAAGACGAGGGGAAGATGATTAAAGACGTTTTTAGCGCTTCGAAACAGATTTAAAAGAATGACCCGCGCTCTGATCTTTGACTCGGTCAGACTCGATTTTCGTCCACTTTCCTCACCTTCCCACGCACACTGCATCAAACACTTTGAGGAAGCTGATGGCAGTCTCACCAGATGAAGTCCTTGCAGTGACTGCAGAACGTGGGCTGTTTGAAGAACCTGGGGATGAACTTGTGATCCTTGACGGCGTAGACATTCTTCTTCTTCAGGGCTCCCTTCCGGCCCCGGTGTTTCATGGGGGTTTCCCCATTCAGGTTCGCCCTGCCGAACTCGGACACAAACGAACCGTTCGACATGGTGCTCACTCACTGACGAGCCGTTGCCTGGCTCGCCTGCCTTTATAAACAGCGACAGTCCTTCTCCCTCCCAAGGCGCACCAGGCGATTGTGGTGGGAGCAAGGAAGGATGGATGGCTGGAGCATGGTCGGCAACGCGCCTGCGCGCATGCTTCTAGCTTCCGTGACTCATCTCCTCATGGGCTGAAGCAGGCAGTAGGGAGCCGCCATCCAGGCCAGTTGGGCCTTCCTCCCACAATGGAGCTCCCTGAGTTGAAAGTTAGCAAACTTGATTACATTGAAACGGTGAGTTTTTATATTTTCTAATCTGTACTCTTCTGTGCCCGCTGCATCTCTATAATTTCTAAACTAGCTCCACTACAATATTAGTCCCCTCTCCCCGCCATAATGTAGCTGAGGACATACTATTTAACTCAGCCTTAGCTTTCTTCATAGTTTTTTAACATTTATTTCTGAAAAAGGGATGCTCGAGAGTTTAGGTAGCCTTTGGGTAATAATATTTTTTAATAAGCTAGGCCTAGAAGCCTTACTCATTTTTTTTAAATATAGCCTATTTGTGTAAAGCTGAAGCTGACAAAGTGTTATGCTGATGGGCAATGCCCCACATGTAAGGATAAGGATAGCGCAATCATTTGCTGAGTGTTTAGACCTGTTTTCCATGTTTGGCTCTTGATTCTGAAACTCATCCTAGCCCTACTTTTTGTACAGCTTACAGGAAACAAGGTCTGCAAGCAGTCACATGTGTATGCAAGTCAGAACATTGTGCTCACTGGTAAGAATATCATCATGGAGGACAGCATTGTCAGGGCAGACCTGGCCAACATTCGTACCGGGAGGTACTGCATTCTCAGCAAGGCAGCAGTGATACGGCCTCCTTTCAAGAAATTTAGTAAAGGGTATGTCTGAATTTGTCTACATATTTCCTGCCAAGTCAATGGCCAAAGAGTGAGAGTTCTTCCAGTCATTTGGCCCAATGGCAAAGAAAGGTGACTCACTTGGTACTTGGTACATGAATTTAGAAAAAAAAAGAGTTTAAGTTGAAAATCCCTACATTACAGAGGTCAGAGTTTGAGGGATATATATGATGGCTCCATATAGTGAAGCTACAACTTTTAAAAATGTCTAACATCTTTAAAAATGCTCTAATACAGGAATTGACAACAAATAGAAAATAATATTAGAGGAGTGATTGAGAAGTCATGCTACAGGACAGTACATTTAAAAACCTTGAAGTGTTCTAGCTCATATGAAAGTTGCCATGTAGCATGCAGTAGATGGAACTAGGTGCACGTGGATGAAAATGTTTAAGACAGTACAGAAGAGGAATAGTTCTTGTGTGTGTTTTGCAGAAATGGCTATACCAATCCATTTTTATCATACAGTTTAGTTAGTGCAAATACTCTTGGTTGTTGCAGAGGTGCATTCTTTCCCATGCATATTGGAGACCATGTTTTCATTGGGGAGAATGCTGTAGTCAGTGCTGCCACCATTGGTTCTTATGTCTACATTGGAAAGAATTGTGTGATTGTGAGTTCAATCAAGCATATTTTTCTCATTTTGCATTATGGTATTTCTGTGGCTGATTTAATTTTCCAGGATTATTTCTGGATTAAAACATTTGGTATGCTTTGGTTGTCTGCAGGGTCGTCGAAGTGTGCTGAAAGACTGCTGCATGATTGAAGATAATACCTACATTCCTCCTGAGACCACAGTGCCTTCTTTCTCAATGTATTCTGGGAACCCTGGAAAGCAAACTGGTGAAGTGGCTGAGTGCATGGAGCACATGATGGTGGACTTCACTAAAAGTTTTTATCGGTGCTTTAAACTAGATCCTGATGTTCCTCCTGTCTTCACTATAACTCCACCAAAGACAAAATCTTGAGTTTCCTTGCTGGACAGAAGGGGAATGTGTTTATCTTATTTTCTATTGTCTTGTGCCCATGGTATATTATTATATGGAAGTTTCATAAGAAATGAATTTTCCACAAGTATTGCAATCCTTAACTGTGTTTATTTTCAGTTCCTGTTTAGTTTCAGCAAAACCTCTTCATGCATTTGCTTGCTTTTAACTTTTACACCAACATTAACAAGAGTTTTATGATTTTGTTTTTTTTTTTTATTGTCTGATTGGTTTAATCAATTCCTAGACATTTTGTGTTCATGCCAATATACCAAAAAGCATTCCAGTATGTTATACCAGTAAGATATTTCATTTCTGTTCTCCCTCCCCCCCTGCTAGTCCTACTGTGCAAGGTTTCTACTTCCATGAAGATGTCTTGGGGTTCTTCATCCTTCATCATGAGGTTGAACGACGCGATTCATAAGCAAGTTGGATTTTCTGTTTGTTGGAAAACGTCAGCAGCTTTCCATGAGAAATTATTGTCTCTGGAACGCCCCCTCGGAGGAGGATGTGAGCTCCGCGAATCGATTTTCCACGCCGCCAGACACCTCAGATTCCAATTCCGATACTGAATGAAGTCCGCGAATCGACGTAGCCACTCCCTGTTTACCGTTTTATAATTATTATATTTCTCCTGTTCTGACTGACTGCAGACAGTTTCCGCCTCAAATTAGCGATCAATGAGTTATAGATACGCTGAAAATTTTTTTCTCGAAAAAGAGAATTTTTTCCGAACACAATAAAATATGCAAAAAAAATGCGCCTTATACATGAGTAAATACGGTAATTTCAATTCCATTTTTGCTGTCACAGTTCATGAGTCATTCAAGCTTGTTTTCAATGCTAAAGAAGGTCTCAAACATCCAACTTTGTCTTAATATCCAAGTGTAAACAAAGGAAGTGAAACCCTTTGTCACACTCTTCTGTAGGTCTAATGTCAATAATTATTCATCAGAAGAACACTGGTAAAGAAAGGCACTGCATATTTATTGATGCACAGTAACAATGATCCCCTTGCAATAATGCTTCACTTTGTCTTAAACCATTTTGGTACTTGGCTCAGTGAAGACTGGCCAGGCCCAGAAGGAAGCTGAGTTTCCGGCCTTGTCCTAGGGGGTAGTTGCAAAGGACTATGCTGAGGCATAATGGATGACTCCTGACTTAGTTCTGAGCTTGTAACTCCAGTGTCAGTCTCACAAGTCATCTGGTAGTTGGTGCCCCTGGAACAATAACTTCTTTTAGTCCCTGTAGCCAGTAAATTGATGAATTTAATTCCTCACTTGGAATTAGTTGTGTTTCCCATTAGTGATACACAAATGGACTTTTATCTGAAAGGTCATCCCTATTTGCCATCAATGGAGAAAATGAATATAAATTTAGTAATTATTACCCATGACCTCATAATGCTTAGTGAATTACCCAGTCAGAATTATAATCTTTCCCAGTTTATTATATGCTTAAAAACATTACAACCAATATGTCAATCTGGCATTTTTGATCAATGATAAATTATCATTGCTTCTCCAAGTTTGATCATTTGAGTCAGGAAGCTGCAGTAAAGCAACACCAGCAAAATCACATAAGTCAATCACACACAGGCCTCATGTTCATTCATGTCAATGCAATTAGTAATCTGAAAATTCATTATTAAGTAACAATTATGCAGGCTGTTGAAAATACCACATTTTGCTTTTGGTCCTGAAGTGGTACCAGCAATTAAGGTTATGTCCAATGCATGTGGTTTTGGGACCAGTGAACATCATTTTAAACTGGTCAGTTACAGTAAATGTTGGGGCTATTGCAATTTTTTTTCTTTCTCTGCATTACTACCATTTCTTTTCTCACAATTTCTTTGCATGTGAAGGCATAGCACAGTAGCAACAGCAGCATCCTTGGTGTCTGGATTATAGCAAAAAAAAAGTAAAGTGGAAATGTTTTCAGCCCACAAAACTAACTTAGTAGAATAATAGTAGAGGCAAACATTTAAGTTACAAATCACTTAACTTTGAAAAATAAAAATACACATATGAATGATGTGAATGAAACATGAAAGAACATTTATGATAGAAAGTTTTTTCATCTGGATGTTGCCTATTGATCTGATAAATTTTCCATTATTTTACAATGGAAACGCAAAATGATGGGAAGTGCACACAAGGCCTTGGAGGCCTTCTGGAGATATAATATATCTACAGCCCTATAATGGTTCCTTTTCTGAACCTTAGTCACCAAAGTATGTTTAAAGCCAACCTTAACTGCTAGCTAATTCAATAGGCATGGAAGAAGCCATACAAGGTGGTCATTGAGAAACAAGTGAGAAAAGTGAAAGAACTATGGTATGTATGTGTCAAGTTCAGATGCTCGTCTCAGCAAGGGATTGGATGATAGCCTGAGATCAGTAAAAAGGACTTACATCATCCTACCTGCCCATGCAGAGGCACCAGTGAAGTTGGAGGCCTTAGAGCGTGCAGTCTCAGTGAGATAATGCTCACAGGGCTCATCACAGCCAAAATGGATGAGGGCTGTTGGAGAGCACCCAACATCCCCAAGGCATTCTCCTGGCTTCAGAATCCTCTTTGGAGGAGTGAGATCTAACCAGAGATCAGAAGATGAGCAACAGAAATCCATCATGTGTCTTACTGAACAAAAATTATACTCACAGAGATGGAAACTTAGGGAGGGCTTCTCCAGGTAATTTTGAAGGAAATTCTTCACTGTCTGGATAGTATCAGATGGCTGAAAGCGAGTTTGCAAGATGAACCCATCTGCAAATCGAATTCGTATAAGGCTCACTTGATGCTGCATCAACTTCTCCCTGAAGGACTTTTCTCGCAATTCCTTTGTCAGCAAGGGACTCTCCTCCATCTCTTTTCTAAAAATATTAAATTCACCCTGTACTTCTAAAAAAAATTTATTTTTGCATGATTGAAAGAAGAAAAGCTCACTGCTTCATTCTTAAGTCCTGCAGAAGGTATTGGATATCATGAATTGTGTGACTGAAGAACTCATCAGGATAATCTATCTCAGAGAGCTGGGGGCAGCTATGCACATCAAATACAAGGGTCCCACGATCATCTAACTGCACGAAAAAATGAAATGCACTTTTCTGTAAAGAGAAGAATTGAGTGTGTGGAAGAAGCTGACTCACAAGCACCACATTTTCTTCTGCTACTGCCAGGTCTGAAGTTGAAGATGCTTCCTCCTTCACAGGAACAGAAGAATGCACCACATCCATTGGTGCCTCCTTCTTTAAATCCTTCAAAGGTTCCACACCGATCTTCATCTGACCTGATGTATTCAATGCAGCCCCTGTATCCTCTTCAGTGGGGATCGTATCAACAGGATACACAGCCAAACTGGGAACTCTGATATCAGCTGATGATGCCTGAGCCTCCATGTCCTTCTTTTTCTTGGCTTCTATGACCTCGATCACCTCTGCTCCCCGCTTGTGCTGCAGACGAAGGTGCAGGGTCGGCGAACTGTCAGGACGTGTCTTAGATCCCTACAAATTCAGTATGACATGAAATTTGTCTTCCAGAGGCAGTCTCTTCTGTCTCTGCAAGGCAAACTGCTCACTTCATCTTCTTGTTGAAATTCTGATGATGTTTCAGATGAGATTTCCCTTAAGGTACTACCCTGCTCAGGTGGCTTGAATGGATGGACTAGGGGTGCGCTGACATGTGCCTGTTCTCCCAGGGCTCCTTTATCTCTGAACATGAGCCTAAAATTTAAAGATGAAATAAATTTAGATGGAGGAAATTCTTGACTTTACATATACAGGAAATGAGGAAACCTTATGATGTGCTTTCCACCCAAAAGGCCCAGCTTCCTCAGAGTAGTTGCCTTTAGGGCTTGCTCACCCACAAATTCTTCCCTTGTGTAGACACATACCGGTATATGATTCTCAACCTCCTTGTCTGCCAAGGTCTTAGTGGCACCAAAATGATTCAGAATGTCCCATAGGGTATCTACCATGTCAGTATAGATGAAATGCAAGGCTGTAGATTGCTAAAAGACTATGATGAAGCTGCTTGGTTGCACTCTCAGAGAATCACAAGTTAGGACTGATCTGATTCCCCTGTATCCTAACAAAGAATTAACAAACTCATACTGATTTACAACTTTAAAGTAAATGCTGATCCCAGATGTGAACTCAAGGAGGCCTTCCTGGAAAATATAGAAATGAGTATTTTCGTGAAGTGGTTAACACAGGAATCCAGGTGCATGTCAGTTATATATTTTAAATGATTTACAGGAAGTACAATATAGATTGTATCCATATCCATCCACTTAAGATGTACACCAATGTTTTAAAGTACCTATGAGGAACTCACATCAGTTAAAAGAATTAAAAAGCACATTGTGGGCTTCTTAGGAAGTAATGGAAGAATGGAGTTCTCTTTTTCTTTTCCAGTTTCTTCTGCTTTCTATGAGGTAGATAAAGAAAAGACAACATTATGGCATTCAAACTAGTAGATAGAAACTATAAGCCTAATGAATGTCAGCCAACTGTCAAGGCTATCTATGAGCTAGGTATTCAAAATTATTCCACAAAGACTAAAAATTAAAAATGGTCTGGTGACACCATTTTCTATCCTATCTATTGTGTGCACTTTGCTTGCTGATGCTCCATGACTAAAAAGGCAATTTCAGGTCTTTCGTGTAACATTTGATGCTCTAAGGGTGCAACAAGCACATGTACTTCCCTGTCCACACAGATAGAGTTATTGAAGAAGGAAAGCTACTTTGTGTTGTGAAGTCACTGGTGAGTCTGCTGCTGGATTCAATTTGAAGGCAAATGGTGACAGGAGATTCCTGCCTGCTGCCTTCCATTGGAACCATCTCCAGCACAGCATTGTTGGGGAGATTTGTGAATCTCACCATGGTTGTGAGATCCAAGGGCTTGTTATGATGCCTGTGAAAGGAGGAGTGAAAAGAAACTTTCACCCATTCATCATCAGATAAATGGAGCTGCAAAATGGAAGAATCAGTTTCAGCTTCTACAATATAGAAACTGACAGGGTTTATGCCCAGCATTTTATCCTCACCTAAGAGAATGTTCCTCATGAGCAAATCCTTGCTTTCCACATGCTTCTTCCAGGACCTTAAAAAGGTAAAATCAGTCAAAATAAGTAGAAATGTCAATTCAGCAAATTATTTGTCAATTAACCCATTGAAATTCTAAGCACAAGAGAAATAATTAATAACTTTAAATTTCTTTGAAATGGCAATCCAACCTATTCCCCATACAAAGGATACTGAAGCTTATCTTTCCTGATATTCCAGTTTCCATGAATCTCTGACTGAGATTCCCATATCAATGTTCTGAAAATGCAGTCTATGTTTAGTTTAGACTCATTCCCATCACTTTTCATACTGTTTTTTATCCTCACTCACCATAACAAGACTCAACCTAAGGACAACTGGCGAATCCCAATCCTTCATTGCTCCACTACAAGCTTGGCCTAGGGTGTTAAATCTTCTTTATACTCATAGACTAATGTCACTTCAAACTAGAATGGGGCTTAAACAATAGTTTGTGTTGTGCCAGCTTTTGATGTTTCTTGATCAAAACTACATTCTACTGTAGGGCTTATTTTAGTATATAGGTACTTCAGGAGTTGGAGGATTCATTGATCATGCTTACTTGTAAGAGGCTGTGACTGAGAGGGGCCTTTACTGTTGCCCTCCTCCCATTGGGACACAACACGATTAGCGTTTTCGTCGCCATTCTCTTCAGTCGGCCCGCAAAAAGTAGCCTAGGCCTATCGAGTAACAGCTGGAATCCAGTGTCTTGAATCGGGCTCGAATCACGAAACTATGGCAAAGGAACTCTCAAAGAGGTTATCTGCACGTAGCAAAGTGGTGCCTCAAGGAACGATAGGAGGCGGCCACATTGAGTAAGATGGCGATCTGCTCCTGTGAGTCTTTTGAACAGTCATCACTCATCCCACGAGGCTTATCCTTTTCTTTTGAGACGTTTTAATGCCCGTTATTCATAAGGTAAGCAGACTAGCGCCAGATTGTGTCCTGTGTAATGGGGGGAAGGAGAAAGAGAACAATGTGCTGACGGCAGAACGTAGAAGACCAACTCCTTGATGGCGAATGGTCACTTTGTGTGGTGAGTTGCAAAATCCTCTGCCTTTCTAAGACGATGATTGGGCTCCTCTGTAAGTGTGCTTGACACAATTTTAGTAGGCCTGGGGATTTACGAAGCTCAGAAGTGACTTTTTAATTTTTGTTGTGACTACTTTTGGGACGGTTCTTTGGACATCTGGGTTTGGGCTTATTTCTCATTGTGGGCATGGTGCCCGTCGAGAGGTAAGAATATACATGAATGCACAAGGAGTACTCAGCATTGAATGTAAGCGAGATAATTGAGGCCTTTGCATTATACACAGTGAACTGTGATTATTGATCATGTTCATCACATATTCTTATCACTTGCACTGCTTAGGCCTAGAACAAATCCCAATTTATTCCAAAATAGTCAGGGTAGGAAATGAGACTAGATCTGGAGCAGACAACCTATTCAACTGCTTTTTTACCCATGGGTTGAATGTGATGTTAATTAAATGCAATCACTGTAGTACTAAATTTGACTGAATGCAAGATACTAGAACTCCTAGCACATTCGCGAAGTTCTCAGGAAAATTTACTGTAGTCAGCACTATGCTGAACCTACCTTGCCTAACCCAGGTCTAACATTTAACCTAGGATTATCATTGTGCTGCTGAAGGTTGTTACGGCTAATAACTGGGGCAATAAGTCAGTAGATCTTCTGAAGCTTAATATGTTTGTCTATAATCTTGTTCAAATTTGTTTTATATGAGGAGGAGAAAGACAATTCACACAATCAAATGTTGGCTTATCTCAAGTATGGTTGTACTGAACTCTGGGATATGTAGAGCATCAGCAAATATGCAAGTAGTCAGAATCTGAAATCAAGCACAATCCATGCATGTTTGTGATGCATGGTGTCAAAAAAAAAATGTTTCTTGAATTATGCTGAATTAAAAAAAATAAAGGAATTCCTTTCAACAGATGAAAATCTGTCAATGCTGAAACAATATGTAAGTGACTGTAAATAAAAGCAGCATGCTTGTACAGAAACTCATTATGTTTTTGGCCCTTTGTCCATTGTGAAGATATCAGATTGTACCTCTTGACTGAGCTTTCTTCACAACTGCAGGAATTGTCTTATAATCCAAAGCAGGGCAAACTTCAAACTCATGACTATGGTTATGCTGGCTTTGGATTTTGAGAAGCCACTACTTGATGATCTTCAGTCATATTGCAATATGAGTTGAGATGTTGCAGTTTAAAGCTTTCAGCCTTATGCCATAACAGAATGCTCAAATACAATAAGATGGAAAATGTGCAGCTATTTGAAAGTGGGTGGTTTTTTTTTTAATGGCACAACCTATAAGTGTTGGCAATAAAAACTGCACTTATCTGATTTGATCCCCATTAGCCACTAACACCACACATAGGACATAATGCTTGAATGGTCTGCTAATAAATTCTGATAAAGCAAGGAAACATGCTCTTTTGAGGGTTTCTCATGATTCACTATGGGGATTCTCTCCAATCTTTTGGAACTTCTGTTCCTTTTCATCTTGCCTGGGAAAGGTACTGATATATCAAAGGGGAGAGGTAGTAACATTTGAGGCAGGTGTCAGTAATGACTGGTATTTATTTATTTTTCTCTTTCAGAAGGGGAGTTGTTTCTAATAAATTATCATGTGATCCTATAAGTAAATCTGCCAAGCTTCTTTCACACTTTTAGTAACATGGGGATTTATTGCTATATAAATTTCAAAAGATGATAAAATGAGAAGGGAATTTTTTTTACTATTCTCTTCCTTGTAGATAACTTTGAGTATAATGATATTTCACATTCAATTTTGTGATCTTGTTTTTGTCCAGTATCACACAGTCCTGGTGCTAATTTCATCCATCTGTGACTCTCCCCACAGGTACAAACCAAACCATGAGGACAGACCCTCCTACAATGGGACTGTGCCAAGACTTAGCAGCAGTATTGATTTGAAGCTTCGTTTTTTGAATCCAGATGATCTTGATGAGGTGATGTGCATGCCTTTCCTTATTCTCCAAGATGTTCTTATCTTCTTTAGTTTAGGTAATGATGTTTTATTCACACAAGGTTACCACTTTTGGCCAAACAGACCATGAAGCTTCAGTTATGACTGAAGAGTGCATGAACAGGATATCTTGAATCTCTTGAATTTAAGTCTGATAAGTTGCTGAGAAGTATATAACTCAGAATACCAGAATGAAGCATATAACAAGTTGACTACTTGATAGCAAGAGTGAATAAAATAATAAAACTAAAGTAATTAACAGCATAATAATAAACTCAGGCAACACAGGGCAGGTCTTCTGGTTCTTGGGGGAAATCTTTAAACTGATACTCTTTTTTCATTTCTTTCATAAGTTTTCTGGGCAATAATTTCTTCCACTAACTAGGCATACGTTTTTCAATTCTCTGATTGCCATGGAGTAATAATGCAATCAATAAGAAAATATGTACATCATCATCATTTCATTTTAAAAAATTTTAACATTTGCAAGCCTCTGACTGTTCTGTTTTCATGGCTGCCAGAAATAAATATTTATATCCAACATTTCAGGTGAAGATCCTATGCCAAGACTGGTTTCCAGTAGAATACCCAGAGTCATGGTACAGAGATATCACATCCAATCCTCGTTTTTACTCTCTGGCTGCAGTCTTGGAGCATCGAATTATTGGCTTGGTTGTGGCTGAAATTAAAGATCAGACTTATCTTAATAAGGAGGTAAGTCAATGAATCAAGGTGTCAATGTCTCCTTACATTGCATTGTGTGAATTGACAGTATTGGATGCCTTGGGAGCCTTAATGAAAGTCTTACCCATGTAGGATCGAGATATATTGGCCATCAGTCAGCAACGAGGATGTAAGATTGCCTACATCTTGAGTCTGGGAGTCTCAAGACAACACCGACGCAATGGAGTGGCATCCCTTTTATTGGATAACCTATTGATGCACTTGACCACAGAAGAGAATAAGTGTGTCAAAGCAGTTCTCCTTCATGTTCTCACTTCAAATGCTTCTGCCATTCGATTCTATGAGAACCGTTATTTCAGGTTGGTGTACTAGCATGAAGCTTTTTTATTTATTTATAATATTTAATCACGTTTCACTTGGTCTGTGTTTTTAGGATGCATTCCTTTCTTCCCTACTACTACTCAATTGAAGGAGCCTTTCGAGATGGATTCTCTTATGTGCTGTACATCAATGGAGGCCATCCACCATGGGGATTATTATATCCTTTGCTATACTTACTTACTTACTTACTTGCTCTACTTGTTTGCACAATGTGCTTTTAATGCCTCAAGCTCTACTCAGATGCTCAATTGAAGGGAAAGTACTTGTTTTCAGATGAACTGGATCTTAATAAAATGACATATGTGTTGCAGCTTTTTACCAATGATACCAGTCATACCCAAAATGCAAGTGTAGTTATAAATTTTTCCAGTGGTGAAGGTTCAGACTGTAAAACTTCATACCTTGGTCCACTTCCATTGGCCAAAAATCAGAAGGTAATCGAAAAGCTTAATCTAGACAAAGCTTTCTCTCCAGGAATCATGCTGTCAGCCTCTCTGATTAAACATGCATGTTCCTTAACTCCAGTGCACAGACTATGTGAAATATGGATGCACACTGCTGCGTGATGCAACGATATGGTGCACATGGCCGGTGAAGGTGCTTTCAATGGTGCGTGTCGCCTACCGACGACTGATCCCAGCTGTGACAAGACTCGCTCAGAGCACTGTTGCCATGGGGTCCTAGCTCCCTTGTTTCTTCCATGTTGCAATCCTCCCTTTTATTGTGATTTTGGGCATTGAATTACTTTGCAGTGCTGCTAGTGATCATGCAGATGTTTACACATATATATTTTACATAGCACTGTTTTTAATATTCAATTTCAATTTACTTGTGGGCATTCTTTCTTCTACAGGGCATCCCTAAAATTCAGTCCTATTCCTGTGTGGCTTATGTTATTTAGTATGAATTACCCAAACAACAGTGCCACGTTTACAAGAATGGTTATGTCCAGTGCCATCTTTATTGAATTCATTCTGGCATATTAGAAGATTGTGTATTTCAGATGTTCATTAAAGCCCCAATGAGGCTGTTGGCACTGGATAATGTTAGAATTATGCAATTGTGAACATTTAGTTCAGGCCATGTCGTTGCCAGTAGCACTGAATCAAAGAAGTCTGGAATGCTCATCAGGAACAGTAGTTGATGTCATCCTGGCTTGGTTCCATGAGTTGTTGACAGCAGTGTTGCTGTACCCTTTGTTATGCTAACAGTTTGGGAGATGCTGAATTTCTTTGTTTTAGTAGTCCCACATTTAATATGCAGAAGGACAAGGCTCAATCATTACCTGAGAAGAGACACTATAGTGCTTTCATGGTTGAATGAGCACCATTTTCCCATTTTTGAACTGTCATTATTTCATAAAAATTCGCAGGTAATACCTGTTTGACTTAAATGAGAATTTGAAGCTTGTTATAATACTTAATTCTTTTCTTGCTCCTAGTCAAATAAATAAATATTTGTGATGGTTTAGGGACTTTAAATGGGGAGGATTAATTTACATTCAAGTACCTGCTCATTAAGTTGGAGATCATATCAAGCACTTAGGACATAATTAATTTCCTGTCTATGCACTGAGCCTTGAGTTGATTTATGTGAGATTCCTCTTTTCCATTCCAGCTCTAACCATATAAAATATTAAACATTTTTTTATATTACTGCAGTAGATCTATCTATAGTTATCCAATATGTTTGCCACATCATTTCTCTTAGGAATGCAATCAATGGATGAATGTTATAGTGCAGCTGAACAGTATGATCTTGACAATCTTAATAGAATGTAGAGGAAATGCAGCATTCCTGATTAACTCATTACAAATTGCAGTTCTTAGTTTCACAAGTTAGAGCATTGATGCACCTGTTGTCTGAGTGTTTCAGGTTGATATTCTCTTTGGAGCACATTGTAGATCAGCTTGAAGAGGCTTTTAAAACCAAGTCACATTGATGTTCTTGACCCTTGGTCCAACCTTCTACATTAAGTTTATGACACTGAAGCAGACTGTCAGTTTTACCTTGTACGTGCTAGGCTTATAGGTCTAGGTCATAGGCCCTTGACAGTTAGATTTCAGTAAAAATGTGTGTGGGTAGTCTCCTTCAACCAAGTTTTGATTATTATTATTTCTGGTTTTCTTGATATTCCTATAGGCTGTTCCTCAATATATGCAATTTCTTTCACTACTGTAAAAACTGAGCCAAATGAAATTTATTTAGCAAAAAAAAAAGGAATATTCATCAAATAGTTTGTTTGGTAGACAGAAGTAGCTTTGTTGTAGCAATGGGTTTGAAGCAAATGCTAACTAGTTGAAATTAGTTCTTAGTTTTCCAACACCACCAGATTGGGCAAATTTATCAATATCAAAAAATGAGTATTAGTGGAAAATGGCTTCTAGCCAAAGTGATGCCAATGCATCACTCTAGCTAACATGTGATGTCTCAATTGGGAACTTCGTTTCCAACTTACTTTGCCAGAAGCCTCAAAAATCTCATAGGCCTATATTAAGGAACATTCTGTAGATTTTGACAAGTGTTTGGAATTCATAAGGGTCATGTTCCTCCTTCAGAAGGGACTTGTGATTTGCATTCCCATGTGTGTTTGGTATGGTTTTTCACACCTATTTAGTGTCTCCTCTTTTAATGTCATCTGATCTTGATTGTTGATCTACCTTTTGAGGTTGAAGTGCTTCTTGCAGATTGCAGGCATATTTCCCTGAAAGCAATAACTGCCTGTTTTGCAAAAGTGTCACATCTTGGGGATGAAAACATTAACATGCACCACAATCCTTGTCAGTCACATAATTATTCTTGCTTGAACAATGAAGCCATTCCAGGCCAAGTTCTCCATTTTGTCAGTACATTCTAGTCATTTATACCAATACTGAGAACATGATACCAGGTAGGCATAAGTTGGTATTAATGTCAGTGCCTATAGACCTATCTTCAAGAAATCAGAATTTTTGTGAAACCCCTCCCAACAGCTTGGGAAAAACTCTGTTGTTTTTCAAATTGTTCCCAAGTGCACCATTTGTGCTCAGAGCAGAGACTCATATGTGAATGAAAATAAATGTGATAATGAAGTTCTCACTGTTTGTGTTTTGCATCTTTGTTCTGTGGCTGAAAACACCCATTAGTAGCTTTTACAGGTGATAGTCCCATCTGTGAAATGATGTAGACATACAGGATGCCAAAATATCATGAATTTATTAAAGGTGAAGGAAGAAGCAGCACCCAAGAGAGTAACATAAATGGCATAGGTGAACCATATTCCTGTATGAAGATGTGCATAAATTCCATCCTAAGAATCATCATGAGAGAAGATCTGGAAAGGGCATCGCATGTCACCTTTGTGGGTTCAAGTACTCCTAGGACATTACAAATGGGGACACATCACTGAACATTGCATCCACTCACGTATTTCCAAGCACGTGTGAAAAAACGAGAACTGAAATAAATTTCATTACAGTTTCAGGGCAGAATAGGGCTGGACTAGATTTTCATGAAATTGAAACTCACAGTTCTCCCCTGGCAGAAGGCCACTGACGTTCTCGGTCAGTCAGAGGGACGTAAGCAACTGGCAGTAATGTTGTCTCTCTGATGCTCCCATCTTCTGCCTTGTCCACCTGCATGATTCGCTGCAAGCCATAACTTCCAACAGGGATTATCATCCGTCCTCCAGGCTTCAGCTGGTCTTTCAATGCAAGAGGTACCTCAGTTGCAGCAGCTCCCACATGGATTGCATCAAATGGTCCATTGTCAGGCCTTCCCAGCCTTCCATCAGCCTCGAAGAACTGTACCCGACCTGTCTCCAGCAGATATGGCCGATCTTTCTGCACGTTTTGGTGTGCAAATTTCACTAGTTGTGGGATGTGTTCCACACCTATGACATGGCCATTCTCCCCAACCATCTCAGCCATGCAGACAGTCAAGAATCCAGAACCTGAACCAACATCCAAAGCTTGGGCTCCTGGCTTGAGATTATCCTTGAGCCACTCCAGTGCATAGGCATGCATGTGAGGGGCAGAGATTGTTGCACCATAGCCAATTGGCTGTGGGGAATCAGCATATGAGTTCTCAGGGCAGTATTGGGCTCTGTCAACAGCCAGCATCACTGTATACACCTCTTGGCTCTTAATAATTCCTGAGGACTTGAGGTGTTCGATCAGAGCAGACTGACTCTTCGGTGACATCCAGCTCACAGTAAGGTGTCGGTGGGGGAACACAGCCAAGAACCCAAATAGGGATAGGTGGGTAAGTCTGAACAATCTCAAAGACATCCTCACCATTCCACTTCTCTACTCAACCCATTTCCTCTTGACTTACATAAACAATCATGACTTCCACCTAGTGAAGAAAGGAATGATCATGTGGATTTGCAGTATGTGAGTAAAATTGCTATAGTTACCAAATACAACTTTCCAAAGATGGTTATCAACTTGCTAGCTTCCATGGGTATCAATGGTACACAATGTCTAGAATATCTGTCATGAGCAGGATTGCCAGTATCACTGCAAATCTGCAATCCCCTATTTTATACCTTATCATATTCCCATGGGGATGAAGTAGTTAAGCTTGGTGTCTGAAACATTGTCCTCATTAATTGAAGTAGCTGTCCCAACATCTCCCTCCCTGGTCTACTACATTAAAAAAAAATGCAGGTGTGGGATAGGCAAGTTCTTATACCCATGACAGAGGAAGCAAAGAAAAAGAGAAATATCTGCAGCCCTTTTTTTTTCTATCTCTACCTCCACCATCCACATCCATCCTGTTTTTTTTTTTTTTTGGCACTTCCCATCCATATTTCATGGTGACCTGCAGAGGGCTGAAGTATTACTCATGTACCATGGGGGTATTAATGACCAACAGCTGCAAGGAGCACCTATGTCCCCATGTTAAATGGGGGAATAATAGACTCCTACAAATTTGGAAGTCACTACAACCCCCTGCCATACAAATGCATCCAAAAATGCATTTAAAAATGGGCTTTGAAAATATTAATTGCATCAACCTGAAGCATTGATGGTACTGATAATGCTGAAGCATACTACTTGATAAAACAGCACCAAAGTTCAGGGCCATATCTAGGATTTCATTTCAGGGGGGGATGAGGTCTGGTGTACACCCTGTGGCTATTTTTTTTATGCTTGTCATTGTAAGTGTTTTTGACATATCTGGATTTTCCTGTAAGTTGCAGTGTTTAATAAGTCATAAGCTATTAAAGATAGAAAAAACCAAGTACTGCACTGTTTACACTGACAAATAGCGGTATGGCAAAAATTTAAGGAAGAAATTTCGGGGGGGGGGGTTGAACCCCATGAACCCCCCCCCCCCTAAATACGGCCTTACCAAAGTTACTGAAGTTAAGCATAATGGGAAATGAGAAGTTATCAAGCATTCTAGACCCGTTGTAAAACATGGCATCAAACAGGATCTCAGATAGGCAGCGGTGGGGTGAAGCAATAAAATACCCAGCCAAATAAAAAATTTTCGGAGTCCAGCTTATCTGCCCTTACTTTTATCTACACTAGCTGAATTGTTGATAAATGAAGGACTTTTTTGAGCCACTTGCATGGTCTTGTAGCGTTGTCACTGTATGTCTCTTGTATTATTTCCTTTGTTTGTCCAAAATCGTCCCTCTCTACGCTCATTATGCTCATTATTGGCCTATTATCTTTACTTGAAACGCATCTGAGATTCTGATAACTATTGGAGTCTGGAGAAGCCTCCTCGGCCCACTTGACCAACCGCCGACAAACTAACCTCCTGCGTTTTGCCCGAGATATGTATAACTTACTCATGAGAAAAAGTACAAATACGAATAACTTTACACGACCGTAAGGAACACGTGGACCACTGGCAGGAGAATGCCATCTCGCCATCATGGCGCTGCTCAGTGCCTCCTCGAGTGACCGTTGAAACCGGAACGAACGGACTGGGTTTTCACTTGCAGGATGTCTTGGGATGTGGAAGACGAATGGCTTACCACAGTATACATCAAGAACTACATTCGTGCTCCTACTGAAATCTCTTCTCAGGCTCACGAGCATGCGTCCTACAGGTGAGGAGCTGGTGCGTTATTCATCTGGGAGTCCATGGGTCTGGCTAGTAAAACTGTTGTTTTCCTTCGCAGGGAAGAAAGAAGGAAGAAAGAAAATCACCACCAGCTACTCTGGGACCAGAAGGTTCCTAGACGTCGGCCTAACCAGCTCAAAAAGAATCAGGAAGAACACGAGGAAGATGTATCACCTCCGACGTTAGATTCTAACATTCGGTTGAATGAGGACGTGAGAGACAGCGAGGAGACAGCTCAAGAATCATTGTTAGTTCGGTTGGCTAGCCCTGCCCCTCATACTCTCAATCGCATTCAATTCCTTTCTTTTCGCTCTAACCATATCCCTATAAAATCTGGATCCTATTTGAATCGTCGTCTTTTCTCATATTCCTCCACAATAGTTTAGCTATGGATCTTTTCCAGAAAAGCTGGAAAAGTTGCAGAAGCTGAATTTATTGCTTTTGTATGCCATTGGGAAGTCCAGTATAATCTAAATTATCAATTCATTACTGTTTGTAAATATTATATTATTTACTTATGTTGTACACTAAAATATAATTATTAGGTCTTCATTGTGACCAATTAACATAATTTATTATTGTGTTTCTTTTTATCCATTTATTTGAAATATTGCCATCAAAGAATGACGTGCAACAAAGAACTTAGTTTTCACCAGCTTCAATTGTGTTTAAATTCCATGGATTAAGATGAAAAAAGATTTTGTTCACTGAAGTAAGATTTTGTTCAATCTTTTTGATGCAGAAGAGAGTTATTTTATTTTGGTGTAATGTTATCCGATTAGTGCACATCAGTTCAATGCTTAATTCAGTTAGTTTTTTTTTTCCTCTATATTTCCCTATCCTTCTTTTGTATTCTTTTTCAAAAGCCAAAAAGAAATGAACTGGATTTACTTTCCTCCATTTTTGGAAAAGCTGAAGCAGGCATAAAATTGCTTGGTTGGACTCCTGGTAATTTTTTAAATTCTCAGGTTGTCCACTTTTTACATGGCACATCTTTACCCATGTTATATGCATAGTCTCCTAGAATGGGACATATGTTTTCCTAACTGCCATTTTTTATGGCTTTTTGTCAACAGGCCTAAGACTGACTCACTTCTACTCAATTCAGTAAAAGCAATCCTACAACATGGAGGCAAAGAGAATGTTCCTCCCATTTCCAAGTCAGACATGACCAAAGAGCTGAGGTTACAGATAGAAGCACAACGTCTGTCTCACAAGTCCAAAGATGTAAGTAGTGCAAAAGCAGTCAAGAACCGCCCAATGACCCCAGGATCCATTTTGCAAAAGTCACGCTTACTCAGCAAGAAGTCAGTTAGCATCCAAACAACTGAATCAAGCAAGTATATATTATTTATTTTAGTTTTTTTTTTTCAGGCATTTCGATCACTATTAAGTATTGATTTTGCAGATGAGGAAGGGAAGACTGTGTTTGCCAAATCCCCAAAGAAGCCCCGGAGTAGATCAGCAGGACCCACAGTCAAGAAGCATCCTCCTTGTCTGTCAGAGGAATCCTGCAGGAGAATGGAGTCTCAGTTGGCAAGAAACTCTGCCATTTTCAAGATAATGCCTGTAGTTGATACCTGGATCTGCACTTCTATACCTCGCCAGGACAGCACAACAGTCTTTCAGAACAGGGTAGCTTCATCCAGTCACACAAGAGCCACAAAGAACCCATCAACGACAAGTATTAGGACACCAACCTATTCATGGCTGTGACTTGAAGGATGAAGAGTTTGGTTATTTGTTTTGACATTCTGAGATTGGATCTCATTCTTAATCTGCAATGAATTTCTAGGGTTTTTTTCTTGTTTTGATATAACAATATAAACAGAAACTATGTAGTTCCTATTTTGAGAGAGCATCTGCCTTTGGATAATTCTCAGGGCTCATACCATGAAATTAAATTTTGAACAATGTGCATGTGAAATGTGAAAGAATGTTTCTATTATTCCATACAAAAAGGCACAAGACCAACCATAAAAAATGAACAAAAATTATCACAGAGGAATCCTGTAAAGAAACTTCAATTTTTTGGGGAGTCCCTCTGAGACCAGATGGAGAGATCTTTTGGCAGCCAAGCATGAAGGCCTTTTTCAGAAGGGAACAGAATTCCGTTGAATGGTGCTTCAATGTGAGGCTCGGCAGATGTTTTGTTGAGGAAAGTGATTTCTTCTTTTGAGGGGAAGGTTGTTCGTATCAGAAGCCCCTTCTCCTTGTTCTCTGACTGCAGCTCGGAGACACAGCCAAACCAATAGATGACCATGCCATTGCCATACCTTGAAAAAGTGAAAAAAAAAGAACAATGAAGTGTGGCCCTCAGTTATGTCCACAGATTCAGTATCAGTAATTCCTTCCAGATGCACTCCGGTTACAAGATATTTTGAAAACTTTACTTTAAATATCCCCCTTTTGCATGCCCCTCCAAGTCATCTATCATGTCAGAACTAGTTTACTTCAAAGGGAGAAAAATATAGAATTGCTCTCACCTATTGAGGTAACTCTTCAGCTGATCATGGAGGTAAGTGGAATGAGATTCATCATCTCCAAATAGGGCCTTGCTTTCCACCCAGCACACCACCTCATCCTGGACCGCTTCACAATAAATTTAAAAAATTTTTTCAATGCTATAAAACCGGTTGATGAGAATCATGATACCAGAGTTTTCTCAAGCATCTTACATAGTGTCCATGAAGTGACTATATGGGCTAATTTTCTATTGTAACACCTGTATTAGCCATTTACTTTGTGTAGGTACAATGACCTCAGGATGTCACATCTTTCCTCCTTCCACTTTGGTGTGACAGATTTAATTTCTCTGACCCTTAATATGTTTCAAAGCAAGCCAACAAGGTGCAGTTCTTTGCAGCCAGAAACAAGATGGGCAAGCCCTGTCCAGCAGAGAGCCTCCTTACATTTAAGGAGAACCTCATTATGTCACCTACTTGAACAAAATGCCATCTTTTTCCAGTCCTCGACCATAAAAGTTCTCATTTCTCAGTTAGATATGGCATATCTACCCATGGTGCTGATGAAGGATGGTGGGTTGTTCCTGGTTTGATTCATCTGACATGAAGGCTAGAAGAAAACTGACAGCACTGGTTGAGGACACAGTGCTGCACCGAAGGCCTGGGTCTCATGTGCATGTGCATTGTGGTTCAGATTCTAAAGAACTTTTGGGAACTCATGCCTTTCCCTCTCCCCCATCCTCCCAGTGAGCAAATATCAAATCCAAAATTGCCAATTTTGGGGCGAATTTGCCAAAAATGACCTCAGCCTGTACCTCATTCATTTCTACTTGCTAGCCAATTTTCACATTGGTCAGGCCAATATTTTCTTAGTTATCATCAGATGATTAAAGTGTGACATACTGTAGATGGACAGGATCATAAGTGATCACTAAAAAAGTAATACTTGCAGATGGCTTTTGTAACAGGTTGGTGAGGTTGGTCTCATTGATAACTACCCTTCTGATGGAACTCAATTTTATATTAACATGGACAAATAAACCATCCAAATGTGTGATTATTGTAAAAGAAAACTGAGTACTGAGTAGCATCTGAATACCTTGAGTTAATGCATGCATCTTTAGAGATGGGCCCTTTGAAAATGTGAGTCAAGAATATTATTCCAAAATGTTCAATTATTCTGAGACCTACAAACATAAATGGCCACTCCAGATTCAATTGCAAAAAAATTGCTGATAGTCTCTTTATGGACAGCCACTGAATACTTCCCCAATGATAAATTCTCATCTATATAAAATATCAATAAAAGTAAATATGGGCATTATCCAATTTTGAAAAATCAGATCATTCAAGACAAAGGCAATGGCAAAACTAACCAATAGGAATGCTGAGCTTGACATCAGGAGTTCTGTCATAGCCCTCACATCGAAGGGCACATTCATCCTGAAAGGGAATCCCATATTTATTTAGTGTTTGCTTCAACAGGCACTCATAGTCCACTCCCACTTGATGCTTTATTCCATCTGGAATTGGGCCATAGTTGTCATCCACAAGGAAACACTGATGGAGAGTAAAGCAGAGCATGAATATAAACATTATGGACTCCTTAAGGTATGCTGCAAGTAAAGGAATGACAATTCACCAGGTAACATTCAGAGGCCAGCACTTTGTCATTCAGGAGGTCCAAGTTCTGGGAAATACGATTAAGTTCCTTCTTGGATGCTGTAATTGAAGGTAGTGCCAAAACCAGGAATGACTGATGTTTCCATATGTATAGATAACAAGAAACAGAATAATAAAAAATAATCTTATACTCACGTTCACAACCACTTAAATTCTCTTGAGATTCTAAATGCTTCTGAAGGATGGACCTTGCCAACATTGCAGGAGAAAAACCAATATCCTCAGCCATCCTTAACAGGAATCCAGGATCCTCATTTCTGCTTCTCAGATCAAGGTATCTGTGAAAAGCTTACATATAAAACACGACTACAAGATTCATGCTGAAATTTTAGGGATCTGTATGACAGTACATACCGTTTGTAATACTCAGCTACAGCTTCAGGGTGTGTGTGCTTATAATGGCTGACCTTAGTTTGTCGTGCATTAAATTGAGCTTTGATGCTCCCCAGAGTTGCCTTGGGAATGCTGGTTTAAATTGAGAGAAATAGGAATGAAAATGTCAATCAAGTTCATGCAAGAGTAAGAAATATGGGCATTAAGTTGCTCACTCTGGAAAGCATTCTTCAATATCATGCAAGTCCCACAGTTTCTTTTGGGACAGATGGAACTAGTGGAGAAGTATGAACCGAGCCGACTACGACCGGTATAATTAAGGTTAAAGTATATATACGACTTGTACACTCTCAGTGTGAATATCTTATCAGAATTTTAGACTTGTACTACTTTCGTTTGTCCTAAAACAGAACAGAAAGAATCCAGACTTGTAAGGAGATACACTTTTCTGAGGAAATTGCAACCAGGTTATTCAGATTTGTACTTATTCAAATCAAAGCCAGATGATACTTTAAAAAAAAAAATTTGATATTCCATAAAGCATTGAATCAATAAATAGCAAATCAGCTAACAACACACAAAGAGGGAGAGGGTTTCTGCTAGATACTGGCACTACAACCAAGATCACAGTCCCTCAAGCAAAGATGTCATTTTACAGCCCTGTAGATCTTTTCACAGTCAGCCCAGGCCCATAACTGGAATTAGTTATTTTTAAGGTGTACTTCACCTGTTACCTCCTAGTCATAACATAAGTTTTGTGCATGTCACCATGACATTAGGCATATAGCAAATACTCCCCATCAAAGCAGGTGGGATGCCTTTTGGTGGAGAAAGAACCCACCTGAACTTTATTCCTCCACCTCTTGTGTTTCCTGAGCTCAAACCACTTGGACACTGAACCCATATTGTATAGCTAATGTGTGGAAGAAAAGAGCTCTTCCTGATGCTATCTTTGCATATACAAGGCATGATGTGGCTGACCTGTTACATATCCACTTTTCTCATTTAGGGTATATAAGATGCATAATAAATAATCATTAATTTCTTTCTGAATAACTAACAAACTAACATCAATTAGCTCACACTTTGGAATAATTCCATACTTGTTAAAATCTGAATTACATCTTTAGATCCACTTCTGGAAAGCAGCAGTAAATTTTCATTTGGGGGCAAGGAGGAAGGAAGAAAAGCATATTCAGAAATTACTGAACCTATAGCAACCTCACTGGAAAATATTTGCTATACAAATTCAAACAAAAAAGTATTTAGGGGTTTATTGAGATACTATTCACAAGCAACTACATAATTTATAATGAATGTCTCCTTGTTTTTATTTCACCTGTGAAGACAGGAAGATCAAAGCCCTTCGTTCTTCAAGCCAAAATGGGTCCAAAATAATGAAATTGGTCATAATTATTTTGAGCATAAAATATATAGGGCATATAAAAAAAAACATCAACCTACAGCATGGCATCATTAACATTTCCCTCTGAGGCAGAAACAAGAAAAAAGATAAAGAGAAGTTTTTGAATACCTCTGATACTGTTCACTCTAGGCTGCCAATTTTATTAAGTACTGTAATTGATCAAAGCTTCAGTTATTAAAAAAATTACCTGAAATTAGTAGGTTTTAAGAGAGTCTATAATCTCCCCATGAATGAATCAAACTTCAGCAGAGTGATGAACTTTTTTCATAATGCAAGAAACTGTACAGTGCACATAAATGATTTGAATGTGTTCAAACAATATATGGTCCGCAAAGCTTTCGTGACTTCATTTCATTAATTTCAAGTCTTTTCCCAGGTTGAGAGAATTATGGGCAAATTGCAATGATTAAATTAGATAGCCTAAATTAGATACCTAGATTTGATCAAACACCAGCCCTAGTTCATTCACTTATTTTGATTTTGTGCCATACTTCCAAATCCAATCATCTTGGGAAGTGCTTATTCATCAGGATGAGTTCAATCCTGGGAGTATAGCCAAAACATACCACACTCCTTGCAATACTATAAAACATAACATTTTAATACTTATTCAAAAGCACAGGAAGTTGTGACAATATATTTATTTTCTATCAATAATCCACATTTGCAATACCGGCATGTTTGAAATGTCACCGATTAAATATAGTACATATCACAGACAGTAAATTTATCTAACCATTTCATCACTGATAGTTGAACTGATTTCCAAACTTGTCAAGGAACTTTTTCTTGTCCTGTGCATCCATGGCAGATGCCACTCGTCGCACGGATGACCTAGCAAATGAACACAAGCAAACTTTCAATACCACACAAGGTTTAATTAAACAAGTTCCTACTTCAGTAATTACCTGTTCATGAGCTTTTTCTCCAATCTCTTCCTGGCAGTATTTTGGCAGGCTTTTAGGTCTGTCAACCTCGACACTTTCTTCTTCTCTCTCTGTTTATTCTTCTTCTTCTTCTGGCCTTGTTCTTCCTGTCAGCAATNTGCTGAAATTTTAGGGATCTGTATGACAGTACATACCGTTTGTAATACTCAGCTACAGCTTCAGGGTGTGTGTGCTTATAATGGCTGACCTTAGTTTGTCGTGCATTAAATTGAGCTTTGATGCTCCCCAGAGTTGCCTTGGGAATGCTGGTTTAAATTGAGAGAAATAGGAATGAAAATGTCAATCAAGTTCATGCAAGAGTAAGAAATATAGGCATTAAGTTGCTCACTCTGGAAAGCATTCTTCAATATCATGCAAGTCCCACAGTTTCTTTTGGGACAGAACCTTGATCACCTCTTCATACTTGGCTCGGCTGATGCTGGCCATATTAATTCCAATTTCATATATATGCTGAACATGTGAGAGTCACACTTATAGAATAGTCTTAAAATCTGAACATGATGAAAGCAGTCCTAAAACAGAACAGAAAGAATCCAGACTTGTAAGGAGATACACTTTTCTGAGAAAATTGCAACCAGGTTATTCAGATTTGTACTTATTCAAATCAAAGCCAGATGATACTTTAAAAAAAAATCTGATATTCCATAAAGCATTGAATCAATAAATAGCAAATCAGCTGACAACACACAAAGAGGGAGAGGGTTTCTGCTAGATACTGCCACTACAACCAAGATCACAGTCCCTCAAGCAAAGATGCCATTTTACAGCCCTGTAGATCTTTGGAGGCAGTTCACAGTCAGCCCAGGCCCATAACTGGAATTAGTAATTTTTTATGTGTACTTCACCTGTTACCTCCTAGTCATAACATAAGTTTTGTGCATGTCACCATGACATTAGGCAGATACCAAATACTCCCCATCAAAGCAGGTGGGTTGCCTCTTGGTGGAGAAAGAACCCACCTGAACTTTATTCCTCCACCTCTTGGGTTTTACTCAGCTCAAACCACTTGGCCACTGAACCCATATTGTATAGCTAATGTGTGGAAGAAAAGAGCTCTTCCTGATGCTACCTTTGCATATACAAGGCATGATGTGGCTGACCTGTTACATATCCACATTTCTCATTTAGGGTATATAAGATGCATAATAAATAATCATTAATTTCTTTCTGAATAACTAACAAACTAACATCAATTAGCTCACACTTTGGAATAATTCCATACTTGTTAAAATCTGAATTACATCTTTAGATCCACTTCTGGAAAGCAGCAGTCAATTTTCATTTGGGGGCAAGGAGGAAGGAGGGAAAAGCATATTCAGAAATTACTGAACCTATAGCAACCTCACTGGAAAATATTTGCCTATACAAATTCAAACAAAAAAGTATTTAGGGTTTTATTGAACATACTATTCACAAGCAACTACATAATTTATAGTGAATGTCTCCTTGTTTTTATTTCACCTGTGAAGACAGGAAGATCAAAGCCCTTTGTTCTTCAAGCCAAAATGGGTCCAAAATAATGAAATTGGTCATAATTATTTTGAACATAAAATATATAGGGCATATAAAAAAAACATCAACCTACAGCATGGCATCATTAACATTTCCCTCTGAGGCAGAAACAAGAAAAAAGATAAAGAGAAGTTTTTGAATACCTCTGATACTGTTCACTCTAGGCTGCCAATTTTATTAAGTACTGTAATTGATCAAAGCTTCAGTTATTAAAAAAATTACCTGAAATTAGTAGGTTTTAAGAGAGTCTATAATCTCCCCATGAATGAATCAAACTTCAGCAGAGTGATGAACTTTTTTCATAATGCAAGAAACTGTACAGTGCACATAAATGATTTGAATGTGTTCAAACAATATATGGTCCGCAAAGCTTTCGTGACTTCATTTCATTAATTTCAAGTCTTTTCCCAGGTTGAGAGAATTATGGGCAAATTGCAATGATTAAATTAGATAGCCTAAATTAGATACCTAGATTTGATCAAACACCAGCCCTAGTTCATTCACTTATTTTGATTTTGTGCCATACTTCCAAATCCAATCATCTTGGGAAGTGCTTATTCATCAGGATGAGTTCAATCCTGGGAGTATAGCCAAAACATACCACACTCCTTGCAATACTATAAAACATAACATTTTAATACTTATTCAAAAGCACAGGAAGTTGTGACAATATATTTATTTTCTATCAATAATCCACATTTGCAATACCGGCATGTTTGAAATGTCACCGATTAAATATAGTACATATCACAGACAGTAAATTTATCTAACCATTTCATCACTGATAGTTGAACTGATTTCCAAACTTGTCAAGGAACTTTTTCTTGTCCTGTGCATCCATGGCAGATGCCACTCGTCGCACGGATGACCTAGCAAATGAACACAAGCAAACTTTCAATACCACACAAGGTTTAATTAAACAAGTTTCTACTTCAGTAATTACCTGTTCATGAGCTTTTTCTCCAATCTCTTCCTGGCAGTATTTTGGCAGGCTTTTAGGTCTGTCAACCTCGACACTTTCTTCTTCTCTCTCCGTTTATTCTTCTTCTTCTTCTGGCCTTGTTCTTCCTGTCAGCAATGTTAATGTCTCGAAGGTATGGATTCACATGATTTCATCAGAATTTAAGACAGATAGGAAAACATCCGAACCTGCATGGAGGGTTCAACAGCATTTTTTGATGTGGAAGGTTGAGAAACTTCATTCTCAGCAACTGGATTCCCTTCAGAGTCCCGTGGAACAATAACCCCATGAAATGGGCACTGGGTAAGCAAAAGCATCCCATGAAGAGCCCTGCATGACATGAAGCAGAAGATGTGAGAAAGCCTTGAACACCTTGAAGCGATCCCTACGAGGACACAGTTTCCCACTGGGAAGTGGAGCATTGCATGATGTTTCCACTGGCTGAAATTGTCCTGTGAACTCAATTGTCCGTCTGCGGAGGGCTGAAACACCTTCAGGATCAAGGAGGATGTCTGATTCAGGCAAGGGTCCACTCCATATCTGATTTGCATCACTCCTCACCCTTCAGAAATATTTTGAATCAGTCACATTTCAGAATCAAGGGCTAGTAAGCTACCTGTACGATAGGAGAAGGTAACAATTTCCTACCTTGGCAAATATAAATAGACTTCTCTACTACTCAGGAAAGTGAAATCAGTATTGGTTCAAACTAATAGAAAGACTTCAGTCTTTCTTTCTTCTCTTTCTAATATAGGTTCATATATATGATGATTGGAAAAAAAAGTACATTGTTTTTCATAGGATAAAGGTAGCTTTATATATGCCACAAGCAATGATTGCTCAGATAAATGATCAACAATGGAAAGCTATGAGGTGTTGGAATGAGGAATCTTTGTCTCAAGCACACAATGCCCAGTTACACAATTTACAGGTGGATTGTCATGGGCAGGTGTGTCAATGGTCTAAGCCTGATCATCATGAAACTCCATAATATATGGCAATCAGATCATGTTCAGAATAGCAAAAACTAAAATCATATATCTCTACAACATGCAAGAGCCAAGAAACATGGTCTTAAACTTGTCTCAGCATAAAAAAATGGCCCCAGACTTTTTTTGGCCTTTCAAATTTCCCTAATAATTAACTTAATATGATCACTAAGTTATAATTCATAACAAACATTCATATTTGATGTATAAATATCATATGTAGACCTCAAAATCATTTTGGTATATTGGTTCAAAGATACATGAACTCGTTCCTCCTAAAATTTGATTCAGGTGTAAGGATTCCCATGAGAGAATAGTGAGATTTTGACATAACAATTTTTTAAAATCAATGTGATATGGTCATAGGTGATAGACATAGGCACTTCTGGTGGGATAATCCAACTGCAAATTGTATAATGGGGCATTTTATGGCTCAGACAAGAGTACTGACAATAACCTTCCAATACTTTGTGTTGACTCCTCCAATGTTGACTGCTAGTCTAACTTGTCTGCATGCTGCATGTAAGAAGCTATCTTTCTTCCATGGAAAAAGATTTAGCAACATTTTTAAATCATAAATTCCTGTTCTCTTTTGGCATGCACAAACTACCAAAAAAAAAGGAATGATGCCTATAAAATAAATATATATTGTCTACAAAAAGAAACTGAGAATCAATTATGAATTGTGAAGTAAATGTGAATCAATTGTGAGAATTGAGTATACTCTTACATTTTACTGAGGATTACAAAGTCTACCTTATAGTCTTTTAAAAGTGGCAGATTTTTTACTCCAAGCACTCAAAGATATTTCAGACACTTACATGGCAATTGTTGGAGCCTCCAGATTTTGATCTTCCCAGTGATAAAGGTCAATATCAAAAGGAAGCTTGGGAGCCTTGGCCAGGAGTTTCGCTTTGTGACCTATTGATGACATTCCACTTGCGAGGTCTGCCTGGTGCAATGAAGAGGGATGTGGTTCTGGCTGAGGAAGTGACCCACCTCTGGCCTTAATTTGACATTGTAGAGTCGTTGGATCCTATTCAATGAAAATTTAGTGCATGCATTATGAAATTAAAAAGACAGAATATTGAATTGACATGTGAACAGAGGAGTTTCTGGAATTAAATAGCAAGTACTGGCTTGCTACGATACATCATTACTAAATTACTTGTACCTCTTCTCTCTCATCTCTGCTGACTAGGGTCCACTCCTGACTGCTGGATGATGTTGAAGCTTGAGCAAGTACTCCAGCATGTGACATAACCCTAGTCCTTGAACCCTGGAGCCCTGATGGCCCTGGAACAGGATCTGACTTTGCCTCCTCTTCAAACCCTTGCTTCTCCTCCACAGCTTCAAAATCTGAGTCACTGCTCTCTTCATCACTTGCCCCTACTCTCAAGATAGATGATATGTTGCACATTGAGTTTCCACTCAACAGTCCCTGGAATGGATCCAAGATTCTGGAGCTCACCTCTTCCCTTGTGTTTATTGGCAGTCTTCAGTCCCAGTTCTATGTACCTCTCCATATGCCTTTCCAATTCCCTCTTCAGAAATTCAGGGACCTCAAGCTCATCTTTGGTTCCTTGAAGCAAAAGATTTTCAACACCAGATTTTACACAAAAAAACTTACAATAGAATATTATCACATTCTTTTGGCACTTCATGTCATGCATCATGCCTCTCTGTATACTCACACTCACCTTGAAATTTTTGAAGACCGTGGACCCATTTTGTAACCATTGGAAGCCACCGATTGACAATCAATAGATATTGATCATAGGCACTTTTCTTCACATCAGCATCTCCTGTTTCTTTAACATCATCCTGCAGGCCTACAAAAGTCAGATGACAAAAAAAAAACTGAACCATTGAACTCTCTTTTATAGTCAAATTGATTTAGACCAAGAACCTTGAGGTTTGATGCCAATAGTGACACTAAAGTTGGGATGTGCAATTCCATGCTGCCTGAGGGAAATTGTATCAGGATTCATTTCATCTTCTGTTTGCACTGCTTCAATTCCTTTTTCATTTGAACCATTTTGATCTGCTGCATCCAGGTTGAATTCTTCCATCAATGGAACCAGGAGTTTGAAGCAGGACTGTAACTGAGTTACAGTTTCTCTCACATCTCCTTCATATTCTATGATATGGAAAAAATACAAATAGGCTCTCAGCAATTCAGCATTATTTATTACTTTTATTGACATGTGCCAAACTTACGAACCAACTATCTCTTCTCGAAGCTTTTCCAGCCTCTTCATTCTTAAAGCCTCTTCTTTACGCCTGGTCTCTTCTTCCCTCATTTTACGAACTTCAACCTCACGCACTAGTGTGTCAAACTCAACCCATTTGCATTCCTTGAGGTATAACTCAGCAAGTTCCAGCTGTCTGAAATGTCTGCCATACAATTCCTTCCAGTCCAGGAAGCATTCAGCAGTGTATCTCTACAGGGAAGAAAAATGTAAAATAAACCTAACCCTTAAATCTGATCCCCAGAAGTAAGGATAGCAAAAGCAGTGACCATCACAATTAAAGTGCTACATTATCTAAGATTATCTTGAGCTCTATTGCTCCAATTTGTTAGCATACCATGCACACAGACTGAATTAAACCTTTGGATCCAATTAGAATAAGCCATGTTAGTAGGCTGAAAAATAGCTCGACCAACAGGTCTAGGATAAAGTTGATACCTATAACAGCAAAGTCATGTTAAAGAAAAGGGATGTCTTGCCAATTAGCAAAGCCTTTGTTTTAAGCTGAATCACTGACAGCTGCTAACCTTCAGATCTTGTGAGACATTTTTTGGCAGTGGTAGGGGGATCTGGGGATTTGTCCCCAGTGTCATTTCCAGGACTCTTGGGAGGTCATCTATGATCTTCTGCCTGAATGAAGCCGATCGCCTGCTGAAAATAAGAACATGACCCTGAGAACAAGCTCTCATAACGATGGCCTAATCTCAGGCCAGAGATAGATAGAATGCCAGCCTCACCTGACAAGATGATCAAGGATGACAAAGACAGCAAATCTCACTTCAGCATGATCTTTGCACAAATTTGTCATGACAAGTTCATAAATCTCCAAAACATTTTCAAGGCTCTCTCGGCACATATCCTTTAATTGTTTGGCATCTTCTCTGGGTACGGATCTCTTGGCATCGTTGATAAAAGTCTCGATGAATTTTTTGGCTGGTGAGGGTTTAGGCTTCTCTGTTTTGGTCTTGCCATTCTGGGGGTAATGCTTCTTTGGACCAGCCATTACCCTGGGTTGAGATCTAGTGTATGGTACTTGTCAGATCAGAAAATCACTCACACTAGGGCTGCTTATTCATATTTGTACTAACATAGACCTAAAATCGTGTTTCAATCCACAGCTGACAGCAATGGGTCACAGTGGACGACCATGCTGAAACAATGTTGAAAGGTGATTCATGCATACTCCAGAATCGTCCATTAATATGAATGTATGCATGTTTGAGAATTGACCGATTTTTACGAATATACTTGAATCAAAATTTTAAAATAGGAGAAATAATCAAAGATAAAAAAGTAAACATTGATGTATTCACATATTTGAACGAGCCCTTGCCTTTCTTACTCAGACATCACTGGTAGCACATGGTGCTTCGCGCAACGCGTACGTGGTTACGGTTGCACGTGGTCTTCACGAAAGGTCTGTGTGTCTGTGCTTAAATCTGGAGGGTGAAACGAGTCGGAATGGCATTGTTCATCGTTAATAGATACTTTGGAGCGGACCCCAGCGGTCCAAGTTTAGAACCCCAGGGTTCAAAAGAAAATGACATCATCCATACTTTAAATCTAAAGGCCAAACGGAAGAAGAAGGAACATGCGTCTGGAACTGGTAGGCCTTGAGTTATATCTAGCATGTTATGTTTTTATTATGGTTCTTTCACTTTTGAAAATCAGGACTATTCAAAGCGTATTTGGTGCCACTGCTTGCTGTAGGTGAACTTACGAACCATGCACCACAGCAACAGGACATGGAGAATCATGCCATGGAAGGCATTGAAGGACTGTCTTCATCCTTCAATGATGCTGTCTCTTTGGAGGATTCCAAAGGTGCAGTTGGGAGTGCAGAAAGAAAACTGCAAAAAAATAAAGTACAGAAGAAGCCTCGGGAGAGAAAGAAGTTGAAGAAAGAGACCTCAGAGACTGAAGGGTTTACCATCCTTGGGGAAGCAACTGCTGCTAAAAGGCTTAAAGTGAGTAAGATATGTTACATTCTTTCCTTGTGTTGTTTTTTTCATTGAAAATGGAAAAAATTGCATACTTTTTCAAATGGAATTGGTCTTTATCTCATAGGTACTCTCACAATGTTCTATGTGACAGGTTGCTAGAGTTCTCCCTGATTGGTTGGCACATCCAACTGTGATTGGGGAAGACTTGGAAGCAGACCAGTTGATAGTGGAAGACCTCCTTGGTCTTCATCCTCAGCTGGTGAAGAGATTGAAGAGCAACAATATACATACCTTCTTCCCAGGTTTGCAACACCTTTCTGTCATCCCATCAGAGGAAATGATTTCTTGATGTTTCGAACCATGTATTTTCAGTTCAGAGAGTGGTCATTCCAGCTCTGCTTGCAAGCTTTCAGAGCTGGCACTACCCTCCTAGGGATGTTTGTGTATCTGCTCCCACAGGCAGTGGGAAAACTCTGGCCTATGTTCTTCCTCTTGTGCAGGTGAGATTGGAATGAAAGTGATTACATTTAACTCTTACAGCTAGAATATGAGAGTTTAGGATGCCTGAAGTATTCTTATTCCCAGAGTGTAATTCACCTATTTCCAGGCTTTTGACAGACACAGCTGAAACGAATGCAAATGAAACTCAATAAATAGTTCATTTTCATCTGCAACAAAAAATTTATTATGGACCTGTATTGGAATTTTGGCCTTGATGAGTTCACAAAGGAAGGCAAGGATCTGGAATTTAATCATTTCATATACGTTCTCTAGGGCTCAACCCTTTCATACATGTAGGATTAAGTTCTAAGACTGGTCAACATGTAACAAGAGCATTCAAAGTTATGCATTTGCCTCCAGAACAACAAAAATATATCATGTACTTGGAAAAACACATGTATCATCCATTCCTGATCAAAATTCTTGAATTTTTATGAATATATTATAGGGAATTCCTTTGTCATTAAGTTCCAGCAAAATAGAATGAAGGTATCTGTTTTTGTGTTCATTTCACCTTTTCAGCTTAAGCTTTGCCCATGACTTGGCTGATAAAATTATTCCTAATAGGTGCTGAAGACTCGTGTTGTGCAGAGGATTCAGGCCCTTGTCGTCCTTCCAGTTCAAGACCTGGCCATCCAGGTGTACAAGGTTTTTGTGGAGTACACCAAGGGTACTCGCCTACGTACTGTAGTTCTTGTGGGACAACATCTCTTTCATCAGGAACAGAAATCTCTTGTTGCAACAGGTAGTGTTTTCATTGAAGTATTTATATTTCATGACATGAAGCTACCAATTTCAGTTTTTATTTCTTGCTTCTTCAGGGCCCCGTGGTGATTACCAGTCACTTGCTGACATAGTGGTTACAACACCAGGTCGATTAGTTGATCACATTGAGAATACACCAGGCTTCACGCTGAAGCATCTGCGTTTCCTGGTCATCGATGAAGCTGATCGTATCATGAATGAAACAAAGGGGAATTGGCTGGAAAGACTTGAAAAAGACTTCTTTGTATCTCAAGGTCAGATGTTTGTGTGGATTCTTGTTTTTGGCAGACCTGTGCATCTCTATTTCCCTTTCTGTCCTTGCCAAAATTCAAACTTGCAGTGACTGTTGTGCTGACACCAAATTTGTTTTCCTTGTTTTTCATATTTTGATTTAGATGGGATTCCAATAGAGAGGCGGCAGATGTTGACTGTTGCATCTCTGGCAGCTGGACGGAGGCACCTGAGAAAGCTTTTGTTTTCAGCCACTCTGTCTCAGAACCCAGAGAAGCTTGAAGAACTGAAACTCTTTCAGCCACAGCTCTTTACTGTTCTCTCACCCAAGGACACCATGACAGCCATAGGTCCACAGCTCTTCATTTGCAGATCCTGTGTAGTTTTACTGGACACTATGATTACTGATTTTTATTTTGTTTTTTTTTTTTTTGCTTGGAGCAGATGGAGAGTCAACAGGCATTGAAGGCAGTTTTGTTGGGAAATACACCACTCCCAAAGAACTTAAGGAGTACCGTCTTAGATGTGAGGAATCCGTCAAACCCCTTGTTATCAAGTATCTCTTGTTGACACTGGGCTGGAAGTCAGTTCTCTGTTTCACCAACACAAGACGAGCTGCCCATCGGCTTTGCCTTCTCCTTCGATCTCTGGCACCAGACATCAGAGTGGGGGAATTCTCATCTGCTCTCAAGAAAGAAGAGAGAAAGGGCATTCTCAAGCTTTTTGCTAATGGAGACACAGATGTGTAAGTTCCCACTGGGCTCCTGTCCCTTTTCTAGGGAACAATCTGATATTTTTACTTACTTGAATGATGTCTAGAGACTGGCTGAAGCTTTTTTTGTTTCACCTTCAAGAACCTAAAACCTAAAAATTTAAGCTCTTAACCTGTTTTCAATTCAACTATAGTAATTTATGGATTCATTCCAACTACAGTTGCAGTATGCTAGAACTGTGGCTAGGCTAGACTGCATCATGAATTTTGATGATTTTGTCATCCAGTTCTAATCTGACTAGGGTTGGAACCAAATCATCAGACTTTTGTATCATGGAAAACTGATACAATCTTTGTCCCAAAACATCATGACTTTTCAACTATTGGTGGATACTAGCTCTGCCAGGGCCTCTAGTTTGTTTGTAACAATATTCATCCATATAACATGGTGTCCACTACATAAAGGTTTAATACATCAGTTGCAGTCTCAGCTGTGCCAAGTATGTAGATACATTCATTCCTTCTTCCCTGCCCCATCCACATTTCAAAGAATCAGTACATCCTGGGTGTTAGAAACCATTTGGACCAAGTTGAAATGCAGTAGAAATAACCAACCTGAGCACATTGCAACTCTCATCTCATGGTTCTCAAAGCCCCCTTGTGGACAAATATTGAAAATAGTTGCACATCTTTTTTCAGACTATCCTTAGATAAAGGCAAGAGAACCATCTGAGTGGTTGTTGCCAATTGGCAGGAGACACATCCAAAATTGAAATTAAATTTGTTCCAGTAGTATCCCAGTAGGGCCCTACTTTGGAAGTAAGACATGGAGGCAATCTGGCAGCCATTATTTATTGAAATTGCTACCTTTATTTGCAAATCAGGATAGGCATAGAGTCCTATTGACTGAGGTCCCATCTTACCTTTCTTTTTGCTACTAATATGTCTATCTCTACTGTCACGGGTATACTCATCATTCATACATAACTTAGGACCAATTTCTTTAAAATCCTTGATTAATTGCTGCCATCAAGAGTCATATTGTTGGAAAACTTGGGCATGAAACTATTATGGATCTTGGAAAATGGTTCTCTATCAGACCTGTTACAATAGTCTGATTGTGAACCAATTGGGTCAAATTTTTTTTCAAGTCCACCTCATGCACTCTCTCCCATCTTTAAATAATTGTTATATTCAAATAATCAGATTTGACACTAATAACAAAAAAGTATATCCACCATGGTAGGCTGGTGAGCACGGATGCAATGGCACGGGGAATGGACATTCCAGACATCCAATATGTCATCTCTTATGATGTTCCAACCTTCCTGAAGACCTACATCCACCGTGTAGGACGGACAGCCCGAGCCGGGCGTGAAGGTACTGCTGTCTCCCTTGTATCCCCTTCAGATCTCATGGCCTTCCAGATCATGATGAAGACAGCTGGTAAGGAGTCTTCAGTTGAGGATATGTATGTTGATGAAGAAGAACTCCAGAGTAGTGAGGAAGCCTATCATGAGGCCTTGGCACAACTCAAGAATGCTCTTCAGGTCTGTCGACATTTTTGTTGAGAATATGTAAAAAAAAATGTGCTCATTTTTTACCAGTTGGCTTTATCTGCAATAGGCTGAGAGAGTGACTGAGAAGAAACGAGTCTTTCCAGTCAAGAAAAAGGCAAGACAACAAATAGGAAGAGACAAGAGGTTGAAAGTGAAGGCACACTGAATACCATCTGTGATCTTTTCTTTTGCAATGATTGTGATTCATTTTTTTCTCCAATGGACATTTTGCCAATCATTCTGCAATGAATGCCTTCATGAATTTATCTGTTTTTTTTTTGTGATTTCTACTTATAAAGTTTTTTTTGTCCTATTTCTTGCAAATTATTTCAACAAAGTCATTACCATTATGCTAAAAAATGAACAATATTTCCTCATGTAGGTCTATAGACAAATACTAATTCTCAACATGAAATATTGAGATGCAATAATCTGCACAAGGAATGACATCAGACAAAGGATCAATGTTGGGGCACTGAGATATCTTTTGGACTTGTGGTCTCAATTTCCAGTTAATAACACCTAGACTTAATACTTTGACTGCCTAGGTCATAAGGCAGTCAAAGTATTAGCCAGCAGGTCATAGCGCATTTTTCAGGTGGGGGCCGTACGACCCACCAGCAGGCCATATGCTGAATGCAAGGGGTAGTTCTTGTCCCCAACAATTCACTTGAATGTCTTTCAACTTGTTGAGTTGACCCTGGATGATAAAATATGTGCAAAGTTGTTCCTATTTGTGCCCAGTAATGTGGTCAAATTGCGGCCCAGTTTCTTTTTTTTAAAAATCCAATTGAGTGACTTCTGCAGGAGATAGCAGGAATAAGAGCACATTGCATGAAGAATCACAGGTATAATACAAGTGTCAGCAAATTCGATAATGTGGAAGTGTACTTCAGAAGCATGCCTTTCCACATATATCTGATTTTGCATCGGTATAATGAATCATTAGGGGGTTTCAAACCCCCCTAATGATATTTGGAGATATGCTGCTCAGTAATATGTTTCAGCGCCTATCTGATTACGAATTTCCTCCATGATGTCAGCCATAAGCAGACTCAATGAGTGAGGGACCAGGGGACTTTCCTTCTGACCTGAAACCAATGTAGCTACATTAGGTGTTGTAGGCAGATTCAGGCGCCAAAAAAATAAAATTGCTTAAATAACCCAGACCTTGACGAAGGCAGCGTCGAACCTCATCGGCTTCGTAAACCAGAAACCCTGAGTTGTTAAAAACATAGTCTCCAGGGATCTTGGGCACTTCGTAAACCCCATTTGGACCTTCCATCTGATTTGAACACCAGAATGGACTGCTCAGCTAAGGAAAGCATTTGTTTCTTTATCAGTTCACTTGTCAAGGATAGAGTGGGGTTGTCCTTTTTTTTATGCTTGTTAAAAAAAAAAACCTGGAAAACCGGTTTACCTTCATGATTCCCTTTGTCCCAGCCACGTAGAACTCGTTGGGGAGCTGGAGTGTGGAGTTCATGTCCAGGGTGGCACTCCGTCCATTCTTGAATTGGAGGTTACAGGCAATAACCTCATCCACGTTCTGGTCATTCTTGTGACCTGTGGCCACGATCGCTGTAGGTTTCTCATCCCCCATGCATAGCAGTAATGCCTGAATGAGGTAGATCCCGATGTCCAGCACTGCACTCCCTCCCAGCTCCTTCTCCCTGTCAATGGGCTTATAGATGGACATCCAGATGTGAATGGACAGAAACACAAAATACATAGAATTGTATGTACCTGACCCGACTTCCAGGATTAGATATGGGCACCCCAAAGGACCCATAAGAATGCATCACTTCCCCAATTGTCCCTGCCTGGATCTCCTCAGCTAGTTTCCTGTGTACCGGATTGCAGCGACTCCACATGCCCTGGTTCCAAGCAGAAATATAAGTAAAGGCTGGTTGAACACAATGGATATTTTGTTGACCTTTGATCACCTTTTCGGGGGGGGGGCTTGCGCCCGGGGGTCAAATTTTGAAAATTAATATTCGCTGCCTCCGCGGTCAGAGGGTTAATAGCGTTTCTTCTCATGGCTAATGGCGTTTGGAGAAAAAACGCACCGGTGTTGAAATGTTGCTATCTGAAAATCTATCAAGGCCACAGGCGCACGCTTTGTCTCTACCATTCTTTTTTTTTCCCAGAATGTTCCTTCTGCCGTTCAGCCGCACGAGCACGAGTAAAATATTTGTGAATCCCCGCTCGTCCAAGGTGAAATCACTGAAATCGATGCATGATGGGTCGTTCTTGAGCCCCGGTTCCCATCGAAGGATCGCTCTTTTTTAATGAGGTCGCTACACATTTTCGTCCAAAAATAAAAAAAATGCGCTTAAAAATCGCTCTACCTGCCTTTAACAACGCCATGGTCACAATTGACGCGATAGACGAGTTAGTGAAATATTTTACTCGTAATCTTCAAGAGCTTCTGTGACCAAAGCAGACGGTGGAAAAGTTCGGAAAATTTTTTAAATGGAAGACAAGAGACATACAGTGGGTGCGTATATCCTGGAACGTGCATAACTGTAGAAATTATCGGTTTCCTGATATAGATATTCACATAACGACGCATATTTTCTTCTCGCGCAGGGTATAATCTTGAAACAGACATTAAATAATAAATTTTAGTTCGTAGAGATGGTGCGAATGCCGGCACGTAGAGACCGAACGCTCGTCCATTAACCACGTATACGAGAGATTCATTAACAAACCGGTATATATGTACCTCCATGAGAAAGAGTTGCATTTCTTGGGCTCGGTGAATGATTTCCTTGGACTGTCCGAGGTTGAGTCCCAGGGGTTTCTCGCAAAGGACAGCTTTTCCGTGATCGAGCGCCATCTTGGAAATCTCGATGTGGGCCGTGTTGATTGCTCCCACGTACACCACCTCTGCAATCCCGCCAATTGTTATCGTGAATGATTGAAAGAAAGCACTTCATCCCAATTATAACGTGATGCTGAGATGTGGAAAAAAAATTTGTAATTTCAATTTCAATTTAAGGTAAATTGTCTTTAACCACCCCTGTCGATTGGGTTTGGGAACAATTGTGGCAAAGATTAACACCACTTCCGTTATTTTCTCAAAGTCAATGAATTTTGGCACTTCATGCAATGTTCGCAAGTTACGCTAGAAAGAAAGGAAGCGAAGAAAAAAGCTTAAAGCAAATAAAGGGGGAAATGCTCAACCAGTGAGTTCGAGGGCCTGCCAAAAGTTGCTAATAACTTCCTTTTTTTTTAATGTAATTTTGTTTTTCTTCTCAGGTGTTAGTGCATGAACGTACGCAATTTCCTTCAGAGTTCTTTCTGACCGAGGCAACAATGAGGGCCGTGTAACATCGGCAGGTCCGTCGTTCGGCCGAGACTCGTGACGCTGAATCTCCCGAAACATTGCATTTCCCGTAGAGGACGTCAAATGGAGGAGGGAAGGGGGAAGGAATTTTAGTTTTGCCGAGGGGGGACAAATTGATACGGACGGAAATTACCCGGATGGCTTGGGTCTCGTGTTGTACCGTGGATTGATATTGCAGGAAGATAATACGATGAAATCGCAGGGTTTCATATACAGGGTGTCCATAAAGTCACTACCTATGGGCAACTTTATTCGTACTGAATCTGGGGGAACCAAGTTTTTTTTTTATAGGTTGTTTATCATTAGACCTCGGAATGGTGTCACATCTTTTAAACTTACACTCTAATGGGACTGAGAATTCATTTACCCCCCCCCCCCCCCCCCCACCCCCCCCCCCCGCCCCCNGCTCCATCTTCCCTGGGATGTGGAATACAGAATCACCTTTTGGAGGATGTGGATTTCATTCCCCCCCCCCCCCCCCCCCCCCTGTTTCAATTTACAGGTTCAGACAAATGGAGTTTAGCATTCCGAAATGTCAGCCAGGTTAAATGGCCTCCACAATCTTCGGATTTTGATCCCTAAGGATTTTTATTTTTTGTTTGGGGCTACTCAAAAGGCATTACATGGGCAAATTCCACAGATCAGACCAACCTGAAAGAGAATGAGAATTTTCGTGCCATGTGCCAGAGAAGTGACGGAATCCTCATAGATGCTGTCGACAAGCAATTGCCAGGGCTCAGATATTTCTGGAAATCGGGTGTCGACGCATTGAGCCAAGTTGTCGAACAAATTCCTAAAACGCTCCATTAATAATTAAAAAAAAAATACCGTGATAACTGCAAGAAGTTGTTGCGATGAGGTCGAACGGCAAAACTTTCCTGGAATCGTTGTCTGAATTTCTTTTCCATTCAAATGAATCACAGAAAATCATAGAACACCAGCTGTGGGAAATTAATTCTCGGCCATGGAAAATTGGAAGAAGGAAAAATCTGACACGGTACATTGGTACGTTGTCAGTCTACTAAAGTTTAAAAAAAAAAAAAAGGCCACTCCAGGGTCTATAATTAAAAAAAGTCGCCCATAGGTAGTCACTTTATGGACACCCTGTACTTACTCCATCCTTCCGTTCGAGGTCGGATAAACCGAACCGAGCCGGAAATCTCACTCATCGTGAGATCGTGAATCAGACACGGAATCGTGTCTGACGACTTTCGTCGCGATCGCACGAATAGGCACGAACGTTTTTCCTGGCGTTTGGGCCTCGTTGTGGGCGACACCGACGCCCGGCTTTTCCTTAACTCCAACGGGAACGATCTCGGAAGAGCCCAATCATAAGAGCGACGGCCGAATGCAAAAACGCACGACCGACGTTAGGATGCAGAATCGACACAGAGGACAGGAGGGACGAAGGAGGGAAGAAGANCCTAAATCTCTCTCTCCGTTTGCCTCATCCAATTTAACATCGCCGAACGTGTCGAGAGACCTACCGTTGTTTCGACCAACGTGGAGAACTTTACACTTACTTTTATTAAACCTCATGAGCCATTTCTTGCTCCACTCGTCCAAAAGACTTAAATCTCGCTCGGCTCGAGCCCTATCCGCCTCCCCCCTTATGGTAAAACCTATCTTGGTGTCGTCGGCAAATTTACTTATCTTACCCTCTACGCCGAGATCCAAATCGTTTATGTAGACCAAAAACAGAAGCGGTCCAAGGACCGAGCCTTGAGGGACACCGCTTGCGACTCCGACCTCCTTCGACGCTTCCCCATTTATCATCACCCGTTGCTCTCGTTTGTCCCTCGATGAAGTAAAGAGCCGGATTGAAATGCTTTCTACCATTCTCAAGGGGAAGAGAAGCGAAGAAGTATTTGGTAAATTCTGGGATTAAACTAAATTGACGGCGAGATCCATTGATGGAACTGGGGAGCCAACTTTGCCCCATCAGAGACGCCCTCCAAAGAAAATCGATGGAGGCGCTGATCCCCACCTATTCCAGACACCCAAAGACTTTCACCGGCTTGAGTATATAAATGTCTTGGAAACCTGCATAACAGCAATGCAACATAGATTTTCTGCTGAGGGATTTCATCTAATTCAGAAACTGGAAAGTGACGTTCTAGGTATACTTTCTGGCAAGAATGTCTCCGTGCAGGAATCCGCCCTAACGAGGCATCTGAATTTAAACCGTCTAGCATTGCACCTGAAAATGCTCGGGGACATATGCCAGCACCGCAAAGTATCCATCACGTCCATTGGCGACATCACTTTCTTTCTCAAGGAAGATCGAAATGTGAGAGAAGTTCTCACTGAGGTTGAGAAAATGGTCAACATTTTCTGCACCATTCCTGCAACATCCTGTACATGTGAAAGGTCCTTCAGCGGGATGAGAAGGCTCAAGAATTACTTGAGATGTACCATGGCTCAGCAGTGCCTAAATCACATCGCCATTTTGCATGTTCATTAGGATAGGACTGATGCTATTGACTTGAAATCCCTTGTCAACGATTGCATCAGTATTAATGCAACCCACATGAATGCTTTTGCCCTGTACTAGAAGTCTGTGCCAGGTCTAATAAATATATACAGAATATTATCAATGCAAAATATGCATTCTTCAAATAAATCCTTAAATGAGTGAGACCATGTCAAAAGGCCATTTGGACCTTGCCCCCCCCCCCCCCAATATTTTTTAGAAGTCGGCGCCTATGGTGACTGGCACGAAACTTTTCATAGCCAAACCCTGCGCCTTTCCTTCCCCCAAGATCAGTGGCTTAGGTATCGAGTGTACAGGCAGTGCGACTGCACCGGAGTCCACGAGCCGAAGGGTCCAGGCGTCGAGCTACAAAGATTCGATTCGCCCACCTCAACTACAAAGTGATCCGCGGCCCACTACAGACTGAAAAGCCATATAATTATTGTTCCTCTACCTGTTAATTCCTATTTTTAGATTTACGGATACTTGTCACGGCCCACCCACAGTGGTCCACCGGTCGAGGACCACTGCTCTAAGGGACCCCTGACATTAGTGGTCGAGCCTAGGCTTCTTTTTCGTTCAAAAGAACCTCAATTTTCGACTTACGGGGGCCAAATTCGGCCTAGATTGGTCGATCTCAGGGCTTTCGAGATGCCTCGCCAATGAATAGTTACGTTATGCTGATTACGGACCAATGATAACTTTCGTGAAGCGTTAGACCGATTATGAGCCTGTTTCGCGTTTCCCGAATCATTTCAGTGAGGGCCGTAACGTTAGGCCCATCTGGAGTTCCTCGCACCATCTCGACGAGGTCTGAGACGAGAATGCCTCGAAAACGAAATGAATGTTGTGCGCCATCGTTAATAAGGATGCCCATACACGGATGCCCACACACGGATACCCACGCACGGATGCCCACGCACGGATGCCCATACAGGATGTCCATATCATACGTTATCGAATGGCCACCGCTAACGACTGCTTCTGTCTCGTTCCTTCCCATGAACTCAGCACAGATATATATCATACGTTAAAAAGTAGAAGATCCAGACGCAGATACGAAAGCAGTAGCAGTCACGAATCCCATATAACTCCAGCACGACATCCGGCAACCGTGGGGGGACGGGATTGGAGCCAGCACGCCAGGCCTAACTGAACGACATCTAATTTCATGTTTACGGCGAATCGGTGCATCGCAACCAGCACGGCACAGTGACATCCCAGGGATGTCTAGAAGCCATCCTACGGTTTCCGACACCTCGAAAGGGATGTCTTCGGGATGTCCTTAAGACATCTTCAGTCGTCTTCGTTCACCTTCAGTCTGGTGCATAACTTTGACGGTAGATGTCTCCCACGCGTCCTGATCCCCAGCCTCAGATTTTTCCCATCAATTTTGTCGACGGGATGAACACTTCACTCGCACGGCATTTATTTTAATGCAATTGGCGGCATTCGAACGAGGAATGACTAAGCTTTAAAATAGTGTACTTATTAAAATAGTGTATTTAAAATATCCCCAAAAGTTATAGAAATTCGGATGTTTGAAATGTGTGCATACCACTTCGACGCTTGGTCGTTCCGCTTTCAAATGCCGCCAATTGCATTAAAATGTACCGAGAAGATTTCCGTACCGAGCATCAGAAAAACAGCCACTAAAGGAAATTTAAATAGTTGAAAAGATACGAATTGTAATTTATTCCGGTACATTCTCATTAATAATAAAGAAGACCCAATGGAAATTCTCCCACGTCTTTCGAGAGAAGAATTTCCCCTCCAATTATTCTCCGATCGGTCAAGAATTTAAGACTGAGAAGTCCTGGGAGACGAAAGAGACATTTTAAAATTAGTATTGGGGATTTCTCGCGCGAGAAATTCTTTTTCAGACTGATGCTCGCTATGAGGGATTTCAAACTTCTGAGGTTGAGTTTTTTTCGAAAAAGTTTTCGGTTTCCCTTGATCGGGCGCCATCTTGGAAGTCTCGAAACGAAATCCCATCGTCATATTCATGACGGAAGGAAAAGCTCTTCGAAATGATAGCGGGACGTTGAGATGTAAAAAAAAAAGGGGGGACTGGATTCGATTTATTACTATTTACTTATTTAAATATTTAAATATCTTTTGCGACCACCCTGCAAATTTAAAATGACGCCACGTCTTTTATTTTCCTTTATTTCCTCGAAAGATGAGGATCCTGGCACTTCGTGCATTATCCAGGAGTTCCGCCGGAAAGAGAGGCGAAGAATGATTCCGAGGGCGAAGGTTGCAGGCAGGGAAATCGGCGAGAAATTGGCAAGAAATCGGCGCAGGAAATGATTCCATCCCGTCGCCATCGCTTTTCGTCGGGAAGCGATTCGGATGGAGATTCATCGCTCCGAGCGCATCGTTTGTCTCTTTGCGTTTCCGTCGCGGACGTCCGAAAGGGGGGAGGAGGGGGGAAGGGGGGGGGGGGGGAGGGGGGAAGGGGGGGGGGGGGTCTCCTGAGTCAGAGTTCCCTGTTATTTCTTGTTATTCCTGAGGATTCCGTTTCGTGTTTTTTTCTGCGCTCGAGCGGTCGTGAATGGACTGGATTTGAAATTTGCATGTGGATTTAAAGGCCAGGAAGGGAGGGAGATGGAACCGACAGGCCAGGAATTTTTTTTTCGTGGGGGATGGCTTCATGAGGGTTGGCTTCGTGAGGGATGGCTTTTGGAGTCATATATATTTTGAGTCTTCTGGGGCTGACGGTTTGGAATGGCTGGAGTCAATGAATGGCAAAATATATGATCTTATGCCTTGTGTCCTTCCCGCTCGACCCTGACTCGGAATGGGAAGTGCCTCCCTGCTTTTCACACATTTTTAACCTTGAAATTTGAAGTTACATCTAAAAAAAAATTGGGAAATCGCGTCTCTGAAATGACGGAAAGAGACGGAAGATAGTTTTTTTCTCCGTTTCTTTGGCCAAGAAGCACACGAGAAACTATTATCTCGGCTTCCTTCCAGTCAGAGAGCGTAGGCCCTTTCCTGGATTAACGACATCCTGCGTGCCTACAGCGATTCAGGCCACTGACGTCATCAAAATGAAAGCCGACCAAATTCGGGAAAGTCACAAGTCCGCGTCGCGCTTTCCCCTGTGCAAACTGCGAAAGTCGAACTGCGACTCGATGGCCGGTGGCGGGTGGAGGTGCGTCGGGGTTCTCCAGTTGCCTCCCTTCTACTCTGATTCTCTTGTGTCTCCGTTAGATGGCGACACCGTCTTCCCTCTACGTGCCCTCAAGCTCCGCGAATGTCTCTCCACTGAGCTTCATGTGAAGATTCCAGGGCGGGCAACAGCGAACTCCCTGATGCTTAACTCTTG